CTTTAATCTCCTTTGGGGAAATATAATATTCTGCCTTTTAATAGTCCCCAAAATATTTCTTTCTCGGGGGGGGATGGGCTGACTTCCCACACTGAGTTCTGCAGATCTTCAGAAGGTAAGCAAGGGATTGGGAGGGGTGGAACAGGGGGCAAAGCAGTGCCTTTGGGGACCCGTAAATGTAAGGATGTGGTGGGGGAGAGATAGCTAAGCTCTGCAAACTTATGAATTCTACAGAAGCCACCAGATCATTTTTAAATGTGAATGACCGGTTGGCTTCTGTAAAATTCGTAACTTTGAAACTAGATCATACGTAGCTTTTGGGAGGTCTGTTGTAATTTTGAACAGTCACTAAATGATCTGTCGTACCTCGAGGATTACCTGTAAAGCAGTACTAGAATGTCACGTGATCTCGATTCTATCCCTCTGTTAATACAGCCTAGGATTGCACTGACTTGTGGCTGCTGCTCATGGCTGGCTTATATTTAAGTGATTGTCCACTAGGACTCCAAGATCCCTCTCACAGTTACCGCTATTGAGTCAAGTTTCACCTAATCTGTGTACCTATACATTTGTTTTTTTCTTGCCTGTGTAAAACCTTACTTTGCTCTATACTGAATTTCATTTTGTTAGGTAGGGCCCAGTGTTCAAGTCTGTCGAGCTCCATCGGGATCTTGAGTGCACTGACTAGATTTTGGTGCACATTAAATTATCAACTATCAATCGATAATTCATACTAAATATTGCTTTATTCGAACTCACATTAATTACAACCTACTGTGGTGATTCCTCAGGGTGATTATTACAGCGTGTTAATTCCACAAAATGAAATGAAATGAAAAGATCATCTTTTGGGATCATTAACCACACTATTCCTCAGGAGAAAAATGACAGGAACAAATCTAATTAAGGAGTATTTAGAAATGCGTACTCCATAATATAAGCATGAAGTTACTGATGAATGGGGCAAAAGCTACTTGAAAACAGAAATCAGCTGCAAAATACCTACCAAAGAAGGAGGCTTTTTTAACAATTGGCCAGTGCAATTATCCCTGCTAAATTCTTTCAAGTCAAAATAAGGTGACTTGGACATTTCCCTAAAAAATATTCAAAAAGATCAAAATAACACAAAGAACAAGGTTCTGCAGAAAACCCGGAAATGAAATGGATTGGGACCAGCGGTGGGATTCAGCCGGTTCACACTACTTCGGTAGAACCAGTAGCTAATTTTTTTCTTGCCCAGGCGCAGAATGGACTTCCAGAAGTGGCATCCACACAGAGAACTGGCTGTTCACATATTTGAATCCCACCACTGAAAACCAAAATCATGGCATCCGGCCCTCTCAATTCCTGGCAAATAGTTGGGGAAGAAATGGAGGTAGTGACAGATTTTATTTTTCTGGGCTCCAAGATCACCTCAGATGGGGACTGCAGCCAAGAAATTAAAAGACGCTTGCTCCTGGGGAGGAAAGCTATGGCAAATCTAGATAGCATTCTAAAAAGCAGAGACATCACCCTGCCAACAAAAGTGCGTATAGTCCAGGCCATGGTTTTCCCAGTTGCAATGTATGGCTGTGAAAGTTGGACCATAAGAAAGGCTGAGCTTCAAAGAATTGAGGCCTTTGAACTATGGTGCTGGAGAAGACTCCTGTGAGTCCCTTGGACTGCAAGGCGATCCAACTGGTCAGTCCTAGAGGAGATCAACCCCGATTGCTCTTTAGAAGGCCAGATCCTGAAGTTGAAACTCAAATACTTTGGCCACCTAACGAGAAGGAAGGATTCACTGGAGAAGGGCCTAATGCTGGGAAAGATTGAGGGCAATAGAAGAAGGGGACTGGATGGAGTCACTGAAGCAGTAGGTGTGAACTTAAATGGACTCCAGAAGATGGTAGAGGACAGGAAGACCTGGAGGAACGTTGTCCATGGGGTCGCGATGGGTCAGACACGACTTCGCAATTAACAACAACAACAACTGATTGGGACTGACACGGGCTACTCTTCAACACAACACACAGCCAAAGATGTAAAAAGGCTGGTGGCAGATGCATCAAAGATTGTGAGATCTTCAGCAGTTTCAACTGGACGTTTTTTTATGGCAGGGCTTTTCAACCTTTTCACCCACTGTACCACTTTTAGGATATGGCAATATCCGAGTACCACCAGTCGCCTAGCAAGGGGTCAAAAATTTGATGACCCCCCCCCCAAAAGGAAAAAAGTGATGAAGTACAGGTAGTCCTCAACTTACAACAGTTCGCTTAGTGACTGTTCAAAGTTACAATGACACTGAAAAAAGTGCCCCCCCCCAAGCCACAGCCGAGCAAGACAACTGCCTGCCCGCCTGGCTGCGCTCTTCCTCCTGTCCAAAGTTTTTATTGTTGTGAGCATTTCTGTTGAGGATTGGCAGTGGGGGTGGGGGGGGTGTTTGGTTTTTATTCCCCCCATCTACTGGGTGGTTGCAGCAAGTTTTGGTCACTTCACATGACCCTGGGACACTGTGACCGTCATAAATTTGAATCAGTTGCCAAGCATCTGAATGTAAATAAAAAGATCCTGGAGATGCTGCAACATTGCAGCTGATCAGCGCTTCTGGGCTCAGCAGAAGCACTAGGATCAGTGCTGCTTTCCAGCTGACTGGTGCTTCTTCAGGGCTTAGCAGAAGCACCAGGATCAGCGCTGAGCTCCAGCTGGACCCTGGCGCTGATTCTGGCACTTCTGCTGAGCGCTGACAGCCTTGCAGCTCCAGCCATCTCTCGCTCTGGCTTATGCGGTGCTGCCACCGCTTCAGCTCATTCCCCTCCCCCGCTACCACTTTTCTAGGATGGTCGCGTACCACCTGCCAGGTGCCAATGTACCACAGGTAGTATCCGTACCACTGGTTGAAAAGCCTTGTTTTTATTCGGTGGCGATGGGGGCTCCATTTCCCTATCCATTGATCTGCAACCTTAACTTTTGTCAACCTCCCTGCAGGGTAGACCTCTTTTCTATCAAACATCAAGGCAAAGCAGGTCTCTAGAGCAGGGATGTCAAACAGCCAGCCTACGGGCCGGATCCGTCATGCCAAAACCACGCCCACCCCATTGCTGGCAATGGAAAAAAAGTCGGGTGATGTTGCGAGTTTGACAGCTCTGCTTTAGAGAGTCCTTTATTGCTCTCAAGAAATGTTCCAACAAATGGCCCTCCAATGACCGGTAAGGCTCCACCCCCACGCCACCCTGAAGGTAGCCACCTACAGTCCCCCAAACAACAGCCCGTATATTACAAAGAAAAGTCCGCAGAGTAGGAGCATGCTCACAGGGCAAGGTCCAGGGTCCTAAGTCCAGTCCAGGAAAAGGGCAAAGAAGGCTTTCACCCAATTGATTTATTTATTTTTTTTCCTCTAGTTTTTGGCTTATCATTTTCCGGTTTTTGAAGCGCAGTCCTTAAGGTTACCAAGAAAGGAGATGACTAAGGCTCTACTATCCACCACTGGGACATTCTTTATTTTGGAGAAGAGTCAGGCTGAACCCCACTGGCCTTTAGTAAAGTCCTTGTTTTCTTTCAGACGTCCTTGAGATCGGGAGAGAGTTTGTCCATTCGTATCCCACTTTTATCATTTCCATGAAGAACTCAAGGCTGTGGATACACCAGATGCTCTTTCCTTGTCCTCCATTTTCCCCACAACAACCCTGTGGGGATAGGATGACTGGCCCCAAAATCACACAGCGGATTCTTGGGCCTGAGGCGGGACTTGAACTGACTGCCTCCTGGTTTCTAGCCTGGTGCCTTAACCACTACAGGTCATCCTCAGCTTACGTCCAGAATTAAGCCCAACATTTCTGTTGTTAAGTGAAATATTTGTTAAGTGGGTTTTGCCCCATTTTACGATTTTTCTTGCCACGGTTGTTAAGCGAGTCGCTGAAATTGTTAGTCACACGGTTGTTAAATCAATCTGGCTTCTGCATTGACTTTGCTTGTCAAAAGGATACAGAAGGTGATCACGTGACTCCAGGACACTGCAACCGTCATAAATATGAAGCGGTTGCCAAGCATCCAGATTTTGATCACATGACCGCAGGACTGCTGCAGCGGTCACCAGTGTGAAAAATGGTCCTAAATCACTTTTTTCAATCCTGTTGTAACTACGGTCACTAAATGAACTGTTGTAAGTCGAGGACTACCTGTAAGCTAAATTGAATGAACTTGTGGCTGACTGGTCTATCCTTGGTGGACATTTTAGTTTTGTGCATTATATTTATTGTCTTTCGTTCTTGCGTTGATATTTTTATCGTGTTGGCTGGCCAGAGCTGCTTATGTGAGCTGGGCGGTCATATATTCTAATTAAGAAATAAATTTCTAAAAGTTTTGAATCAGTAGAACAGGCTGAAATATCTACTGAATTCTTGCAAAATGCTTTGAAGTTTACTTTTTAAGCTTTCGAAGAGGGCTAGTCCAGAGGGAGGGGGATGACAGACCCCATCCTTTCCACTCCTCCTCACTCAGAAAGCATCCACTATAATATGGGGGACCTCTTTCCCATCAATCGAGGCTCTCCCCCCTCTTGGGCCAGGGCATCCGACTGGGCCCCTGAAGAGCCCAGAGAGGACCTCTCAGAGGCAGAGAAGTTGCCCTCCTGCAAGGGGACCAGGAGGGCTCCGGCCGGTCCCTGAGCTCCCGTCTCCCAAAGGGCCCCTGGGTGAGGCCCAGAGAACAGCCACTCGGCCCTCAGCCTGAGGCAAAGGTGGATCTGAGGGAAAAGCCACCTCTGTTGCTCCCCCCACTGAGCCAAGACCAAGCGGCCATTTTATGGAAGATCAGCTGGTGATGCTGGAGAAAGATCCGGACCCAGAAGCAAAATGGCTGCCTCCTCCCCAAGGAGCACACAGGAGCCCCCCCCCCAGTTCTTGCTCCTTCCAGGTTTTGCCTTGGTTCCTCCCCTTCCTCCCACTCAAAACAAAATTGGTCTTTCTGAGCAAAACGAGAGTAAAATCCTATTTCCAATCTCTTCAAACAGGCAGCAACTCAGGTAAGAGAGGAAAAAGACCATTTATTTTCAGCAAACAACTTTGACAAACTTACAATCTAAGTGCAATTATTAAAGGAGCCAGCAGCCCAGATGTGCAATTGATCTCATGTTCCATTTTTCTAAAGCATGAAAATCCATAAATGACAATCTATTAAAAAAAAATCAGAGTCTGAATGTTTCACTCGTTATACTGATTATCTGTCAAACTTTGATCAAATATATGTTCAATTAACTGTGCAATAATCAATTAAAAATGCATCAACGATTTTAGTGACAAACATCTCAGGATGCAGGCTTCTTCTTTTAGTAATAGTTTCATAGAAGATAACATTTAAACTTATAAAACTCACACAAGGAAAAAAAGAAATACCCACCTTTATCCCCAAAAAGTATAATGAAAATTAACAACTTATAAATCTCTCTTAAAATAAAACCAAGAAACTTTTCATCCTCTCCCTCACCCCATTCCCTATAAACCCATCTCTGAAACCTCATCTCTAACCTCTAATCTCAATCCATTAAGATTAACCAGCAAAAGCCCATGAAGGGTGTTATGCAACCTACTTATTATAAACTATGATCTACAAAACCCAATTTGAAATCTTTTGATCCCACAATTAAAAATATATATATATATTTTTCCTCCATTCCTCAATCATAGTAAAAAAAAGGTTACTGATTCTATAATAAAAGCAAAAATGAAAGACCCCAAATATATCTTGGACCCAACATGCTGGAAGGGCCTAATCCACAAGAAGGTTGATCCTCAATTCTTTCCTCCCTCCTTAGGCTGGGAGTGTCCATCGTGCTGCAAAGAGGATGGAAAAAGCATCCAAGGGTTAGTTCTATCCAGACAGTCGGAGCCTGAGAGATGCCAGAGGATAAGAGTTGGGGGGCAGGCAGACCCCTCCCCAGAGCCCTCATGCCTCTCCCCCAAATTCCTTCCCTTGCAGTGTTTGAGTTGAATATAAGAGGGAAGACAGTTTTCCCAAAATATCTTCCTTGGACCTCAAAGCCCTCACCTCCCTCCCTCCCCCCCCCCAATTCAGCCTCCATGAGGGCCACTCACCTGCCAGGGGGCTTCTAAACGACCGGGGTTTTCCCTGCATTGGAGAGAAAGACACAAAGTGAGTCTCTGCCTTGTCTGGATCCTCTGAGGATCTCTCTCTTTTTTTTTTTTTTTTTATTAAAAGTTTTATAAATTTTACAGAAAAAACAAAAACAATACAAAACGAAAAACAACATATACAAAAAAAAAAATTTAAACAATACATATATAAAAAAAACCCCCACCCCACACCCCTCCCAAAAACCCTCCCTTCCCCCCCCCTTGAGCTTCCCAGAGCAGAATATAGGCTTAAAAAATAAAAAAATAAAAATTAAATTAAAAACTTTATATTTATATATATGAAAGAGATATCTATAATATATATGATATATATGAAAATAAAACTTATGAAAAAGCTATATGATATTTTTGTATTCCCAATCTAAATTGTATAAATTTTATCCATTTATCCCAAATAGCAAAAAACTTCTCTTGCGTTTGTTGCTTTAAGAAAGCCGAAATCTTTGCCATTTCCGCCAAGTAAGCTACTTTAAAAAACCATTCCTGCAGTGTAGGCAAAGATTCCTTCTTCCAATATTGTCCAACTAACAGCCTCGCGGCTGTAATCAAATTTAGCATCAATACAACCTCCTTTGTATCACAATCTGTAACAATACCTAACAAAAATAATTGCGGAGTGAATTTTACCCTCCTTTTAAAGATTCTCTGGATATTCCACCATATTTTGATCCAAAATGCTTTTATCTCTCTGCATGACCACCAAATATGATAATAAGAAGCCTCCTTATAACCACATCTCCAGCATTTGGGTTGTACGTCAGGGTACATATAAGACATTTTTTGTTGATCAAGGTGCCATCTATAAAACATTTTATAAAAATTCTCCCTTAAATTTTGTGCTTGAGTAAATTTGACATTTCTCACCCAAATAGTTTCCCAGGTGTCCAATGAAACTGGCTCACCAAAGTTCTGCGCCCATCTAATCATACAATCTTTAAATAGTTCCGTTTCTGAGTCCAATTCAACTAAAACCCCATAAATTCTCTTAATGTGGGTTTGTCTTTGATCCTTCAGTTGCTTAATAAGATTTTCATCTTCTCTAAGAAAACCCACTTTACAATCCATCTTCCATCTATCTAGTAGTTGCCTATATTGGAACCAAGAATAAATAAAATTTTCTTGTATTAATTCTTCCCGTGATTTTAATTGCCAATTTTGTCCATCCCATTTAAGTAACTGTCTATAAGACACCATATCCATTTTAACCCCTCTTTTTATTCCTTCTATCGCATGCCAAGGTATAGCCCATAATGGTACTTTAAAATCACTTTTATAATATTTTCTCCAAATCCTAAGTAAAGAAATTCTTAAAATATGAGATTTAAAAGCCCAATCTATTTTTTATTAAATATTAAATAGGCATGCCACCCATAAAGTAAATCCCATCCCTCTAAATAAAGTATCTCAGAGTTTGTCAAATTTACCCAATCACTAATTAATGTTAAAACCACCGCATCATAATATAATTTCAAATTTGGTACCTTGAGTCCACCCCTCTCACGAAAATCTTGCATAATTTTGAACTTAACCCTTGGTTTTTTTCCTGCCCAAATAAATTTATTGAGACCCTTCTGCCATTCATTTAAATTAATCTCATTTTTCAAAATTGGTAACATTTGAAACAAAAAAAGAAACTTAGGTAGAATATTCATTTTTATCACTGCAATTCTTCCCATAATGGATAATTGCAGCTTTTCCCAGTTCTTCAAGTCCTTCTGTACCCTGACCCACAACTTTTCATAATTATTTTTAAATAATTTTGCATTAGAAACAGACAGCATCACCCCCAAATATTTTACCTTATTAACAATCTCAAAGCCCGTCAAGTTAACCAAAATCTGCTTCTCCTGACTCGACATATTTTTAGGTAAAATTTTAGTCTTATTTACATTAATCTTAAAACCCGAAACCAAACCATAATGGTGAATCAACTGTAATAAGTTTACTACAGAATAGTCAGGTTGCGACAAAGTAACAACCAAGTCATCCGCAAAAGCTCTCAACTTATATTCTTTTTTGTTAACATATATTCCTCTAATTTCCTGGGACTCTCGAATTTTGATCAATAATATTTCTAATGTTAAAACAAACAACAATGGCGATAAAGGACACCCCTGTCTAGTACCTTTCTCTATTGTAAAAACCTCCGACAAACCTCCATTAACAATAAGTTGTGCCGTTTGTTTTTGATATATTACCGTAAGAGCTTGTATTATCTTTTCACCAAAATTCATTTCTTCCATTACTCTTAACATAAAATGCCAATTCAATTGATCACATGCTTTTTCAGCATCTAAAAATATGAGCCCTGCAGAGACTTGGTTGTTCTTGTCTAAATATTCTAGTAAATTAATAATTTGTCTGACATTGTTTTTCATATACCTTCCTGTTATAAACCCTGATTGATCTTTATGCACAAGATGATGCACCACCCTCATAAGCCTATTTACCAAAATTTTTACAAATATCTTATAATCCACATTTAAAAGAGATATAGGCCTATAATTTTTTGGTAAAGTAAGATCTTGGTCCTCCTTCGGAATCAATGATATAAAAGCACTACGCCATGAAGGAGGAATCTCTAAGCCCTGTAAAATACCGTTAAAAAGATCATTTAATGGTTGGATCATCTCCTCCATTAAGGCTTTATAATAAACAGCTGTTAACCCATCCGTACCCGGTGCTTTCCCTAATTTCAATTGTTGAATTGCTGAGGCAATTTCCTCTTCACCATTCTGCAGTTTCAACAAACTCTCAGAGGAGACCAGCCTTTTTATTCAATTATTATTAATCTTCTGTGTCACCCATCTCTCTCCAAGGTGACTCTGGGCAGCTTCCAGTACAATTCAATAAAATGCCATGTAGAACATTTAAAACAATAAATTGAAAGACCAGATTCCCCCACCAGATCACTTTGCCTTGCTCTGACAAGATCATATCCGGTGTGTGACTGCTGTCCTGAGCCAGGCCCAAGATGGGACTAAGATCAAGCAATCCATCATATCTGTCTGTCTGTCTATCATCTATCTATCAAATATTAAACTTCTATGCCACCATCTTGTCAAGGTGACTCTAGACAGCTTACAATAAAATTCAATAAAAAGCTATGTAGAATATTTAAAACAAGAAACACCAGATTCCCCCCCCCCACCAGATCACGTTGCCGTTGCTCCGACAAGAAGATGCTATCCGGTGTGTGACCGCTATCCCGAGCCAGGCCCAAGACGGTCTGGGAGAGGCCCATGGCAGCCGTGAACTCCTGGGCCTCGTCTGAGGGGAGGGCAGATTGAAGTCTCCCAGGACCAAAAGCCTGGGGAACTCCCTGCCAGCACTAAGATGGCCCCCAGCGGCTGAGGGAGGGGGGGGTGCCCAGGTAGCAGGGAGGCTGGTACAGCAGCCACAATCCCAACTGATCCCGTGAGCCCAGATTCAGAAACAGGGTGTCACAACCAGAAACGTGGGGATCAAGGCCCCCAAGGGCCCAGAGGGATTCTCAGAGGACCACTGCCCCCCCACCTGCCCTGCCCCGGGGTCTCAGTTGGGGCCAAACCCTAAATCCCAATCTCTGAGAGGAGGAACACCCCCCTCCACTTCCAGAATCAGCCAGGTCTCAGCTATGCCAGCAGGAGAGTCTCTAACCACTGGGGATCATGGGATCGCCGGTGATTCCCCCATTTCCCACCAAGGAATTGAGGGCTCTCTCTCCTCCAAAGGGGGCCAGGCTTCACCAGGCAGACTCTGGGCTGCCTCCCCTGCCTGAATCCCACAGGGAGAGCTTCTCTTCTCCACCTCAGGAACAAAGCAAGGCAAGGAAAGTGGATTTTGTAAAAAAACCCCCAGCCGGCTTTCATGCCGAAGGTGTGTAGAGATCCAGCCAAGTATAATCTTTCAAAATATAGTCTTTTACGCATAATCAATCTCTCAGGTATAGCAGCTATTGTCCATTTATTTTTGCTTGCTTTCTGTCTGTGCTCCATTGCATTCCAAATTGTGCTGACCAAAGAAAATGTTTCCGTTACTTTAAAGCAGTGTTTCTCAACATGGACAATTTTAAGGCACGTGGACTTCAACTCCCAGAATTCCACAGCCAGCAATGCTGGCTGTGGAATTCTGGGAGTTGAAGTCCACGTGCCTTAAAATTGTCAAGGTTGAGAAACACTGCTTTAAAGGGTGTTGTTTCAAGGGACAGCCTAGCTAAGAAATTGCCATCACTATCCTCTCTCCTCGGATGGTAAATCTTTCCCTTCTCGATTCTCTGCTGTGGCTTTAAAATATGACAGCTCTCTCTTATGCTATGGTGTGTTCAAGATTAGATAGGCAGAAATGTAAGGCCAGGATAGATAAGGAGATTCAAAGGAACTTTTTAAATGCGCAGAAACCTTGTGATGTTTGTTGGTTTATAAAAAGCAGAAACTTGACTTGCTCTCTGCTCTCCATCTCCTCTGCTGTCTAAAGGAGAGTGGAGTGCCCAGCATATATTCTTTCATCAAAGAAAATAAAGCTGTGTTCAGAGGCCTCCTGTTCAGAGTCTCATTGGGATTTATTTGTCATCTGAGCTGGAAAACCTTACAGGTGGGACTAGAACTCACCGTCTCCCAGTAAGTCTCACTTGGTGCCCTCACCAGTTAATGAAACTGACTCTATTTTAATTATTTCAGCAGAACCAGACCCAGAGGGAACACAGGGAGGATGAATTAATGGGGGGAGGAGGGGGGGGGGCTTGTAGAAACTTTTCCTCTCCCCCCCCCCCGTCCAAAGTCTGGCAAAGGGACAGAATGGCTGAAGCAGCAGCAGCTCCCTCCAACTCACCCTGGATGTCGGATCCTTTCTCACTTGCTGGAAAAGAGAGAAAGAAAAAGAGAGTGAGGAAGTTCACTCTGTTGGCCTGATAGGTGGAGAAACTCAGCTCTTTCTGACTCCAGCTCTCTCCCTCTCTCGCACACACACACAATCCAAGACACACAAATACATGGAGAGAGTTTGAACCAGACAGTTTGGGCTAAAAGGCACAGGAAAGAATTCCTAAAATTTATATGTGTATCAACGCAGAGTAATTGTTCAGCAGTTCTTGAGCTTGAGGGCAGAGCTGACCTTAAAAGATACACACGGCTCCAAAGTCTCTTTTTCTAACCAGTTCGTACTCAGAGAGCCTTGTGATGGGAGACCAAGAGGAGATCCAGTTGGCATTCCCCCAAAGCTCCTTGTCTCTCAAAATGCCCCCTTTCGATCCCAAATTTTATGGAGCTTCTGACTCTCATTTCACCGAACCTTTCCTTTCCGCCCACTTGGGAAACAGAGCAGCTTCTCAGCCAGAGGGACCTTCCACCAGCTGGGCCTTCTCCCCTTCTTGAGGGTTCCTTGTCCCAGATGTTTCTCCTTGGGGACCCCACTTCCAAGAACAGCCTAGCTGGGATGAAAACGGGGCCCACCTTCCCCAGACTGGTTCTTAGGAGGAAGAGAGCATGCACATCTCACACACACACACACACACACACACACACACACACACACACACACACCCTCAACTAATGGTGCCTCTGCTCTAAGTTGGAGATTATACTGTATGTAAAGAGGACAATTCACTCACTTGGTGCTTTTTTGTAGCCATGGCATCTCTCTGCAAAGACAAAAATCAGTGAAAGCTCGAAAGAATCCACCAGAGATCATACAAACTCTTCTTAAGAGGAAGAACCCCAGGAGGTATTTTATAGTCACTTTGTCTCATTAATAAAGACAGAAAGATTTTCAAAAACCGAATATATCTCCAGATTTGCCCCAAGGGAGACCTGCTGCCTCTGAGATGGAGGGAGGGAAAGGGGGGAAGCAGCAGCAGCTGGGAGGGGAGGAAGATTTTCATGGAAATCCTTCTCTGCTGCTCTTTGACCAAAGACTTTGAAAGGGACAGAACTGGGATGCCTCTTCCCAACACAGAAGAAGACGGGACTGTCCCAACCTCAGACTCAGCCAAGTCAAGACTGGAGTCCCAGCAAGAGGCCGAGATCTCAGAGGCTCCCCAAGAGGGCTGGGAAAGCAGGACAGGAGGAAGCCCTGAAGAAGCTCCCCAAAGAGAGAGACTTGGGAGGAACCTCCCCATCTTCCTTCCATCGCCCAGAAAAGGAGACTTACTGACGAATACCAAGATCCCAACAACAATCACACCCAGCAGGACAAGACCAGCCACAACGAAGCCGATGATGATCCCCAGGTTGGATTTTGGTTCTGAATTGGGAGAAAAAGCAGATCACTGAAGGAGAATCCCAATCATCCCAATTGGGGGAGAGACCTAAAATAGCGAAAGGTGGAAATTCCCAACATTAAAAACTTCCAAGGGTTCCTCTTCCTGTCCCTCTAAGGGAAGCACGAAGGCTCCTTGCTAACCACCGTTAGGGGACGTGTCCTCCTCATGCTGCCTCCTTCTCTCCCCAGCCCAGCATGAAGGCAGCTGAATTCATCCTTAGCTTTTCCACTCCAAAGCAGCCCTTTGCCACCTTGTGACTCTCAGCAGCTTACAAAACAAAAACTTCACCAACACAATATTGGTGAACAATACAATAACATTTGTTAAACAACATTTTGTTCTGTTTAGAGGCTGCCCCAGTTGTCATAATTTGGGCAGCTCTGTATATTATGTTTTTTTCTTCAGTTTGAGTGTTTGTGTTTTATTATTTAAAGTAAGAGAGTTCAGATCACCTAGCCTTTTTTTAAGTATACATTTTCATTTCCTTGGCCAGTCCAGAAAAGGCAAAAAATTATATTTTGTGCTTCCAGAACTCAGCATGAAAAATGGAATATGGTGACATCCAACTTCTGGACGGTCCCAGAAATGGCAGAAACAGAAGAACAGATTTTGAAGGGACCTTGGAGGTCTTCTAGCTCAACCCCCTGCTCAAGCCTTCTAGACAAGTGGCTGTCCAGTCTCTTCTTAGATGCCTCCAGCGATGGAGCACCCACAACTTCTGAAGGCAAATTGTTCCACTGGTTAATTGCTCTCAGGAATTTTCTCCTTAATTCCAGATTGCTTCTCTCCATAATTTCCATCCACCATTTCTTGTTCTGCTCTCTGGTGCTTTGGAAATTAAATTGACCCCCCCCCTGTTCTTTGTGGTAGCCTCTTAAATAGTGGAATACTGCTATCATGTCCCACCCCCATTCCTTCTTTTCTCTAGACTGGCCAAACCTAAAACCTGCAACTGTTCTTCATATGTTTTGGTCTCCAGGACTTTAATCATCTTAATTGCTCTTCTTTGCACTTTTTCCCCCAAAGTCTCAACATCTTTTTTGTAATGTGGTGACCAAAACTGCCTCCAAGTTGCACTTTGTTGTGGGTGCTCCAGTGGTTTATTGTTCTCACTGTCAGGAAATTTCTCCTTAGTTCTTGTTTGCTTCTCTCCTTGTTTAGTTTCCATTCGTTGCTTCTTGTCCTGCCTTCAGGTGTTTTGGAGAAGAGCTTGACTCCCTCTTCTTTGGGGCAACCCCTGAGATATTGGAACACTGCTATCATGTCCCCCCTTGTCCTTCTCTTCGTTAAACTAGACATAGCCAATTCCAGCAACCGTTCCTTATATGTTTTAGCCTCCAGGCTCCTAATCATCTTTTTTGCTCTTCTCTGCACTCTTTCTAGTGTCTCAACATCTTTTTATATCGTGGCAACCAAAACTGGATGCAATATTCAAAGTAGGGTCTTACCAAAGCATTATAAAGTGGTATTGCTTTGGGAGTCAGTTCTGAGGAAGGGAACTTTAAATTTAATTTTCTCTTCCACAAAACTCAGGACTCCTACTGAATAGCTATCATGCCATTTGTGAATTGATGTTTGCTAAAAACAACAAAAACAAATGAATACTTTATTTTGCCCTGGTACCAGCATAAAAATTAAATTTGAACATTTTTTTGTATTGTCATGACAAACATCAATAAACGTTTTAAACTTGAATTCTGCAATTTTGGAAGTCCAGTGTAAAATATGTGAGGGCAATTATGAGCATATGCAGAGTTCTTAGAGGGCTTTTTTTCCTGGGTTTTATGCTGAGCCTCAGGAAATCCCATATCGTATCATAAAATAATGTGCAAATTCTTTCTTAGAGCAGCAAAACACAAAGACATTTCGTTCTTTACAGCAGGAAAAGTCTCTGATGGTGAAAACTCAGATTGAGTTTTCTGATTCCTGATGCATCAGTCTAGAATCTAGATGCTCTGTGCATTTCCTGAAGTCAGCTGCAGTTCATCAATTTTAATTAAATTTGGCCTTAAAAAAGGGACTCAGACTCTCCTCCTGACTTTTGTACTTCAGGAATTCTAAAGAAAATAAAATCTTTTTTGGGTGCTCAGTATAACTGCTGCTCCACGGCTGGAGGCAAGAAAGAGGGGAGGGACAGAGGCTAAGAGAGGATCTAAGAGGATTTCATCAGGATCTGCCAGCTCTTGTGATGGAATTATGGAGTTTCCTTTACACCCCCTGAAGCCAGTTCTATGGTCTGGTCCCTGCAGCTTCACCAACCTCAAACACTGGAAAAACCAATGGCTTAAAGCTCCGGTATGCTCACATCTGGACACAGCTGGGGTGAGATTTCCCTCCCTCAACCCTCCAGCCTGCCGAAGAGCCCAGCCTTTCCCTCCCTGCAGCCTCTCACCCTTCAGGGCTACGTCCAGAGGCTCCTGCAGGCCATCATGCTCCACATGGCAGCGATAGCGGCCCCTCTCTTTCGGATCGATCTGGATGCTGAGAGTGGTGTAGAAGGTCCCATCCGAGTTGGGGGCCACGGCGCCACGTCGGGTGTCCTGTAGCCAGACCTCCCCGTCCCTCATCCAGGAGGCCTCGATCTCCCTGGGGTAGAAGCCATCCAGGCGGCAGATGTGCGTCTCCATCCCATCCTCCATTTCCGTCTTGCTGCTCATGGTCACCTCTGGGGGCTCTGCAGAAACGGCACCCCCGGAATTAACTCTGAGCCCCTCCAGAGCCTGGAAGGTGGGTGGGAAACTTGGAGGGGCAGGAAAGTCTCCCACTACTTCCCACTCTACACCTGCAGTGTCTCCAAGAGTTTTAGGAAATGCTCCAAATCTGATACTGAATCCTTCCCAGGGACTCAGCCTGAAAAGCCTCCAGGAGCAAATTGAGGGTCCAAGGAAATTCCTCTCTGGCTGCTTTGAACTCTGGGTGATCTTAGATTGTTTCCTTCAGGGGAGGGAAAGTGGAGCTGCTCTTTTAAGTTCCCTTTCAAAACAACAACAACAACACGGAGGTTTCCCCCTGCAGCTAATACTAGGGAAGGGGGGGGTCAAGGAGCCCAGAGGGGAAGGGGTCGATCCAGTGGGGAGAGGTTGTCTAGATGGGAACATAAGAACAAATCACAGGAAAAGATTACACTGTGAGCCCCCCTTGTGGGGTGAGGGGGGTTCCTGAAGGTGGGGAGGGGGCTGTTTTGAGGAAAGACTCACAAGGTCAGAATTGAAGGAACCTGTTTGGTATTTAAGAGAAAGATCCACAGAAACTTTGGAAAGAAACAGACCCCTCAACCTTGGCCTTTTTTTGTCCAAGGGGGGGGGCCCTGAGGAGGTCTTATTAATGGTAGAAGTGGAGCCCCCTAGTGGTGGGTGTGGGAGGTGCAGCAACAGGTGCAAGGCAGGGAAGGAGCCCCCTGTGGGATGTGGGGGGAAGGAGAGTTAATGGAGGGAAATTAAGGGCCCATCACACTTGACTACAGTTTGGATAACGGGGATTTCACTGAAGAAACCCAAATGCCCTTCTTGCCTCACTGTGGGCAATGAACAGGACACCCCCAAGTGCTTCTCCTGCCTGATCCACCCAGACTCCCCCCAGGCAGAGGCTGCGTTTCCCGGTCCATTGAATGGCAGCCTGGCAAGGGGAACCAATCAGGGCTTCCTGCGTCATGGGGAGGGGCTGGAAGGGAAGGGGGAGGATTCCCTCCTGGGCAGTCAGACGGCAGACCAGGAACCCAAAGGGGCCGAATGTGCACAAGAAATCCAGCCAGAAAGGAGGAAAGTCCAGCCTGCATCCAGAGACTCACCTGTCCTCAGCAGCGTCTCCTTCCCGTAGGACAGGTACTTCTCCAGCCACTCAATGCATTCTTCCTCCAGGTAGGCCTTCTGTCCCTCATTCAATCCTGGAATAGCGTCCCATTTCCTCTGGGTGATCTGGGCCTGGGGGACGGGAGCCACCCAGGTGAGTCTCTCCTTGTCGAAGGTGATGAAGGTCCTCCCATCGTAGCCATGCTGCATAAACCCTCCTTTGCTCCCATCAGCCTGGAGCTCACAGCCATACATCCACTGCCATGTGTGAAGGCCTGAAATAGGGACAAGATGATTGTTTGGGGAATCCTCAAGATAGACACAGACCCCCCTTCCCTGCAAGGATGTTCACACAGACACTGACACCCCCCTTTCCTCCCTCGCATTCAAGGTAAAGAAAGCCTCCATCACTACCTGCCCTTCTCCCCTCCCTCGACCTGCCTCCCTCCATTCCCCCTCCCCAGGATGGAGCCCCTGAACCTCCCCAGGAAAAGGGAAGCTGGAAAAGCCAGCGGAGGATCCCGAGGGAGATCGAGAAAAGGAGGAGTCGCAGAAGAAACGGAGGGAGGGAGCCTCCTCCATCTTTCCTTCTGCAGTTCCTCTGTTGGGGAGACTCTTGGGGGGAAAGGAAGGGATCCCAGAGAGGGAACAGTTGCAGGAATCTGCAGCTGCAAAGAGGGACTGAGAATCTCCTGGACTCAGAGAAGATCTGGTCGATCTGCAAAGAAGCTTGCAAGGATCCCTGTGACCATAAATCTTGATCTATGTTCACAAATATCACCAGGTCACAAGGGCTGGTTCCCATCTTGGCTAACCAGAAACAAATCATGGCTTTGTACATTGTGGGAATGAAGCCCTGAAGGGCCACAGAGGAATATTTTCCTTAGCAACAGCAGCAAGTGGTCCAATCTGATCTGAACCCCCAAAGGGTTGTTGACCTTTGAAATGAAGTTTGAAGTTTACAGTCTTTGCAAAGAGTCCTGGAGAAAATATTTTGACTTTAAGTGACCAGATTCTGGGATTTAAAAGAAAACCGAATGTTTGAAAAAAAACAAAAATAAATGTAGAAATGTTTCTACTTCTGCTTGGGCTTGAGAGTGAGGAAGGATGCCAGAAACTCTCAAATCTGAGGGAAAATCACTTGTAAGTACAGTTGAACTAAACTGACTGGTCCTTTCCCTCCCTTTCCACTCCCATGAGTGACCGGGTGAGGGGATCCTTTCTCTGCAGCTTCTGCTCAGCCTGAGATCTTCTCTTTGGAGGGAGAGGGAGATCCTCCTGAGCTGAGTCTGATCCTGCCCTCCAGAGGAAATTCCCTGATCTGCCCAGGGGAAAAAAAAAAAAAAAAAGATTCTGGATTTCAGCCCAAGAAGGTCTCCTGCCATTCACAGGAAGGCACTGAAAATCTGGCTGCAGTTTTCAACTTCCGAGAACCAGCTCTGTCTTATTTCAAAAGCTAAGACAGAAACCATCTTATTTCAGTGGAAGATGAAATCTGTGTGTGTTCATTGCAAGTTTGGCACAGAATTTAATATTTGTGCTGCAAAAAAAAGAGCACAGGGATCAGACTGAAAAGGCAAGTTTTTATTCTTAGTGTAAGAAGGCTGTTAATGCATCTCTACAGGTCTGTGCAGGAAACAATTCTGCCCCATCTCTGAGCCTGGATGTTCAGGGGTTCCCCGAGGCCTGAAAAATAGTTCAAGGGTTCCTCCAGGGTCAAGAGGTTAAGAAAGGCTGCTTTAGGGAGGCTAAAATATATTTATATTTGTAATTGTTGTGAAGAATATCAGAAGCCACTTCTTTATGTCTTTTTTCTTTGCTTTCTTCAACTTGTTTTCTTTTCTGATGTAGTTTTTGATTTTTCTTTGATTTTTTTCTTTTATCTCCTTTACTTTATGTTACTTTCTATTAGTTTTTATGTTTTGTTGCAAAGGTTCAATACAAATTATATTTTAAAATTTAAAAATAAGGTGAACAGGATATTAGAGATCATTAAAATGGTTCTGAAAACATGGAGGCTAATGTCAGAAAGCCTTGGTGTAAATCAAGGGTGGGACCACATCTGGAATATCGTGGGCCGTTCTGGTCCCCAGACCTCCAAAAAGGGCAGGAGGGAGGTGGGGAAGGTCCAGAGGGGGCGACCCAGAGGATGGGGGGGTGGAAGCAGCCTCCCTTGGAGGAAAGGTTGGGACATTTGGGGCTGTTTGGCCTGGGAAGGAGGCTCCCCTCCACTCTGGCCCCTCTCCTTCCCCCTTTCTCCACCAGGGGGAGCCCTCTGGGTCCAGCTCTGCTCCCCTGAGAGGCCAGCAGGGGGCCTGGAGGGATCTGGGGGGATCCTGGGGATCAGGAGCAGAACTGGCAGATCTCTGGGGTGTCTGCCTGGGGGGGATGGGGAAGGAAAGGGCAGAAGAAGGGGGGCTGCCCCTCCTTGGGATGAAAGGAGGGAAAATGGCTGATGTTTGGGGAGAAGGTTTACCTCAGCCCAAAGCAGCCTCTGGTGACACAGATATTTGCTTCCAATCTCTCCCCTAAATCAGGTTCCTTGGAGGTGAATCTTCTCCCCCAAAGATGGCAGAAGGGGGGGGGCTGCTGAAGAAGGCCTCCCCCCTCCAGGGCAGCCCCACCAAGAGGGCAGCGCAGGAGTCCAGCCAGAGGGACCAAGGATGGGAAGCCATCAACGCTCTGAGCGACTCAGGAAGGGCCCCAAATGGGGGTTTCTTCCTTCTCTGTCCTTTTTCCCCTCAAGGTTGGGGGGATCCTGGAAGTGATCCTGTGCCCCCCCCAAGAGCCCCCCCACCCAATTTGGCCTCCTGGCCTCTCCTGGAGAGTGAGAAGAAGTTCCTGCCATGTTGGGCCCCCCTCATCCCTCCAAAAAGAGGTGAAAGAGAGGGATCTACTCAGCCCAGATGGATCTGCAGTTGATCCCTCATTTCTCTGGGGTGGAAACAGACAGAAAAACAGGGACCTGTTTCCCCCAGGATCTCCTTAGAATCCACCTGCTTCTTTTCCGGGAGGGGAGAGACCTGGGATCCCCTCCCTCCCCCACAGCAGGGGATCCACCAAGGCCAGGAGCCTCCGACTTTCATGGGGGGGAGGGGAGATTTCGGTTTCTTTTAACTCAGTTTATAGCAAGATCCACATCCTATCAGTATACAGGGAGATGGAAGGATAACTTTAAAAAAATGTTTTTATTAACTGCAATTGGCAGAAACCATCAGCTATGGAGGCAACAACAACCTTATACTGATTTTTTAAAAAGAATAAACATACTAAAAAGTTTTTTTAAAGGTGGGGAAGCAGCCTTCCCCTTTGAAGGGACCCCCCTTTCTCCCCCCTCTGGTTCCTGGGAAGGGGATTATGGGGCCGGAGGAGCCACCCGACCCATCACTCACCTTCGCTCTGATTGTAGCGAAGCCTCAGAGTCTCCAGGTCTCCTCTGAACACCTCCTCAGAGTCACGGGATCTCTGGGTGTTTCTGTCCCAGTACTGGGGATCCTCCTTCCCCACTTTCTCCATCCAGGAGACTCGAGGCTGATTCCTCTGGGTGTTGCTGTTGTACGAAGTGAAGATGTGACCATCCACGTACCCCACCACGACAAAGTGGGGCTGCCCCTGACTGGGTTCCGAGATGGAGGAGTAGAAATACTTCATGGAGTGGGAGGAGGCGCCTGGAAGGGACCCAGAGGGGCAGAGTTAGGGGGCTCCAGTCAAGGACCCTCATCCTATGGAGGCTCCAATCTGAGGCTCTGGGGGGAAAGAAGGAAGAAGAAGGAGGAGAAGAAGAAAATAGAGAACTGCGGGGAGGAGAAAGGAAGAAAGGAAGGGGAAGAGGATGGAAGGGGAGGCAGGAGGTGGAAGGAGGGAGCGGCTGAGAGGGAAAGAAGCAGCTTCTGGGGGGGGGCTGAAGGGTGGGAGGGCAGGGAAGGTGGGGTGTGAGAGAGGAGGGGAATGTCGGGTCCCCCAAACTTTACCTGCCCCAATTGCACACTCCCCCCTTTCAGCAAGGCCTTCCACAAAGCTTGGGAGGGGGTTGGTGGTGGCTACCCAACTCTTCACATGATGAGTGACTCTCAACAGAAAAGCCTAAATTAGTTTCTCAGACTCAGCCACTTGGACTTCAACTCCCAGAATTCCCCTCAACCATGGGGGCTCTCCACCCTGGCCCCACCCCCTGCCCCCACTGAGGCTGCTTGGGAGTTCCTGCTGCCAACTCTCATGTTTGGGGGGGGCTCTCCACTGGGGTCCTCTCCCCAAACCCAGCCTCCATATGGAGGGTCCCGTCACCTTTAAAGCCCCTCTGGGGAACATACAACATTATTTCAGTTTCTATCATGCAAACTCCCATCTGAGCAGCATCAAAGTTTCTTCAGCCCTTCCTTGGATTGGAGGACAGACTAAAGTCACAAGACATAAAACTATGCTAAACTTGAATAAAATTGACAAAAGAAAATCACATTAAATCATTGGTTAGTTTTCATTGTCAAAACACAAACACGGAAGAGACTCTTAGGCTGCCCAAGGAACAGAAAAAAAACAGCTCGTAAATGGATGAAAAGAATTAAAAGAAAGTAAAAGGAATAAAAGATTCCTGGGAAATCGATTCAGCTGATGGAAACCCCCAGGGCCCCTTCTGGGTCTCCGTTCTGAAAGCTCTTCAGGTCAGAAATTCTTCCGGGGCACCAAAGAGCTTAAAGATCATTTTCAGGATCCTTCACGGGATTTATTTGGGCAGAACCTGGGTCTGCATGGAAAAGGGCAGGACCTCCAGAGCCCCCCAGAGAAATAAATACAGGCAGTCCTCAACTTACAACCATAATTAAGCCCACATTTTTGCTGCTAAGTGAGACATTTGCTAAGTGAATTTTGCTCCATTTTACGATTTTTGCCCCAGTTGTTAAGTGAATCGTTGCAGATGTTAAATTACTAACCCCGTTGTTAGGTAAATCTGGTTTCTCCATTCACTTTGCTTGTCAGAAGGTCACAAAATGGGATCACTGCAATTGTCATAAATATGAACCTGTGGCCAAGCATCCAAATCCTGGTCACATGACCACAAGGACGCTAAAATGGTCATAAGTGTTTAAAATGGTGATAAGTCGCCTTTTTCAATGAGGTAACTTTGAACGGTCCCCAAATGAACTGTTGTAAGTCGAGGACTACCTGTAGTCCCACTGCCCAGTCCCTCCAGTATGGTCTCCCAGCCCTTCCCAGTCTCCCAAGGCAAAGGCAAAGGCCTCCTTCTTCCTACTCCTCCTCACAATCCCAGCAGCTTCTCAGAGCTTTTGGGGAGAGGGATCCCCAGATCCACTTCCTGCTCTGGGGAGATTTCAAACAGATCAGGGCTTTTCTCCAACAGAAGGAGGGGGGATCGGACCCTCCGTGATCCAGAACCCGCTCCTTCCCCTGGTGGGGCTGAGCAGTGAGGGAGTCTGAAGTCTGCCTGAGAGGAGAAACGTGTGAACGTAACGCAGGTTGGGCGTCCTCACAATCACGAATCCTCCTCAGGTCAGGAAGGGCCGGTCAGTCTGGGCCTGTCTGTGTCCAAGCAAGGCCTTCATTGCAGGCTCCCCACCCAGAGGGGCTTCTCTCCTCCTGCCTCCAGCCCAGCCTCTCTGACCCTTCAGATCCTGAGAGTTTGGGAAATGCCTCTGGAAAAGCTGCTGCCTTGAGAGTTTCTCTGAGGAGCAACTGGGGACACCCCAAGACCTCCCATCTGGTTACTGAGGAATAAGAGTAAACTTTAAATATTTCTGATTCTGCAAACTCTCCCCTGCTGGGGGCTCCTGAAATGGGAGGAGGAGGATTTTGGGTGGAAAAATTCCTGCCTGTCCTAGAACACAGCTCTGGGGATATTGGGTTTGGGACGGGGTTGGGGTGGGGATCCAGTGGAAAGTGACAATCAATCAATCAATCAATCAATCAATCAATCAGGGGGGATATTTGGGAAGACAATTCAAGGAGGGTTTCTTCTCTCCAGACTCTTCTCCTGCTGCATTCCCAGGACAGCCTTAACCCGATCCCTCCAGGGCTCCAGCCTCCTTGTCTGCCAATACGCGGAAGCGAGTCGAGAACCGAGCCGGCTCCGCCCAGCACCAGAAGCCACAAAGAGCCACCCAGCCCCGCCAAAGGCAGGAAAGAGGAGCCGGGCGGAGGGGTTGTGCGAAGGCAGCCAGGAGGTTTGGGAACTGCCCTGGTCCCGTGTAAACCGCGCTTTCCCACAACCTCCACTTTGGGGGAGGGAAAGAACTGCGCTCGGGGGCGCCCAGGTAGACTTGACTGACCTCTGGAGGGCCCCCCCTTGTCCCGTTCCCAGAGGGGCTCTCCGGGGGGGGGAGAGGTCCCTTCTGAGAGGGGCCAGAGGGAGAGCGGACTAGAGAGAGGACCGAATCGGGATTCTCTTCCTGGGAATAATCTTTGGGGGAGGCGAAAGACAGAGAGATTCCCTGGATGGATCCCCACTAGGAAATAAAGGGACTCACCGAGGCAGCTCTCCCGCAGGGCGACCCCCACCAACACCAGGAGCGGCAGAGAGCGCAGCGCCATCCTGGCCGCGATCCTCCAACTGCGATCCTCTCTCCAGAAGTGGCAGGCAGAAAAAGACGCGCTCCGGGTGATCAACAACGCAACAACCCAGAGCAGAAGCGGGTGATTGGTCAAACTCAACCAGTAGAAAAAAAGTACGCCCGTGTCGTCATTGTTGCTAGGCAGACGTCCAGGCGCAACCGGCTGGACAGGCGGGGAAAGGAAAGCGAAAGTTCCGTCAGGAAATCCCCTTCCAGCCATTCCGCCTCTTGGGGGGAGGGGCAGAAATGGGGGGCTGGGAAAAGCGGGAGGGTTATCTGGGCCTGGGGGGAGGGGCGCAGGCGAGGGGGAGGGGAGACCCCGCAGAGACCCTGGCAGTGGAGGGGGGGGGGGGAAAACAGGTGGAGCTGCCAAAAAAGCCGGGACAGTCTTGGGCGTCATCAGCCGAGGGGCAACATCAAGAGAACGCGAGAAATGAGAATGTCGGTTTATCCTGCACTAGTGAGGCCACGCTTGGAATTGCGGGTCCGCTTCTGGTCCCCACGACTCAAAAAAGATGCTGGGAGCCCAGAAAGAGTCAGAGAGGAGCAACAAAGGAGATAAAGGAGGGTTAAACGGTATGAGGAAGCACTGAGAAAGCGAAGTGTGCCCAGCTTATCGCACAGAAGAATTTGGGGTTTGTGTCTGTGTGTGTGTCTGTGTGTCACAATAACTGCCTGTCTTTACTTGAGAGGCTGTCCCAGAGAAGAGGGGAGGGACTTCTTCCCCAAAGCCCCAGAGGGCAGGAGAAGAAATAAGGGGTGGGGGCTTCTTAAAGAGGGACCCAACCTAGAAGGAGAAATTTTCTAACAGTGAGAACAATTAATCAGTGGAATAATTTTCATCCTGGAATTGTGAGTGCTCCATCGCTGGAAGGTTTCAAAAACAGACTGGAGAACTGTTAGACTGGGATGGTATTAAATTTCCTGCCTGGATCCGAGGGTTGGACTAGAAGACCTCTGAGGTCCTTTCCAGTCCTGTGATTCTGTGTTCAGGTCATGACATCCCCAATGATCTTCGCTCTGGAGAAAAACGCTCAGAGGCTCTCGTGGCATCTTCAAGGGAAAGATTTGTCTTTCTAGGGGAAAATGTCAGAGGTGTTTTCTTCTCTGGGGAACCCGTGAATCTTTAGGAAGCTTCAAAGTCTTTGGTTTTCCCACAATAACCTAAGATGGCTGCTCTCTCCCTTGGCACTTCTTCTGGGGAATCCTCGGACTAAAAGAATAAATCCTGGTTTCTTATAAGGATTGAACAAATTCAGTTGATTTCACATTTCCTATAATGAACAAAGTATGAGAAACATTCAACGGTCTTTTCAAGGCTTGAATCATCTGCTTTCTTCTGCAGTCATCTTTCCTCTGAGCATGTATAGAGTGGAAAATTGGGCCCGTCTGTGGGAAAGAGGAGGGGATAACCTGATAGCTCAAGAACATAAAATATAAAACATAACAGAATATAAAATTTTGAAAATCTTTCAAATGGGAGAGTCTCAGCAAGGCGGGCCCTAAGAATTTCCGGAAACGCGGATGAGCTGGAGATTGGCGCCCCCTGCTGGTTGGCGGCTTCCCAGTGTCTCCTCTCAATTAACAAAGTATCAATTCCTGTTTAAGCACCAAACCAGCCAGAAGTTAATCGAACTATGTAGAATCAAGCCTAGAACTGATTAAATTACTTCCCAGACTCATCTTTACTTTGTGGGCTTCCTTGCGAGACAAGCTGCATTTGATTACCACTTTGCTTCTGGGTCCACTTAAAGGTGCTGTTTTTGACCTTTAAAGCCCTTCGTGGAATGAGACCCCCCTCTTCCCAATTACTTCTGCCCACCCCACCAGCTCTAGCAGAAGAGGTATGTTGTGGGTCTTGTCTGTTAAGGAGTAACATTAATGGGACACGGGAGATGGTCCTTTTCTGCAGTGACCTCCATCCTTGATATCCTTCCAGACATCTCTTAAAATATGGTTGTGTGAATAGGCTTGGGGATCTCAAGGAACTGGTGAACTAGCAATGGGGCTGCATTCCTTATCACATCGAATCCTTTCTTCTTTCAATTAATAATGCTTCATTAAAAATTGCACAATCTTTTTGAAATATTAAAATAAGATTCATGTTTTAGCACAGAAGATTCTCAAAAGGAATATAAAAATTAAACTAGAGACATTTCTTTTAGGCTGAATGGAGAAAGAACTTGAAAAATTTTTTGTTGTTGTTATCCATGTTCACAGCAGTGAGAATGGCCAGATTAAGTACTTTAGTCAAAGAAAAGAATACATCCGACTTTATTTCTACTTGGAAACCGCTTCTCAATTTTGTGGTTGAGGTAGAAAAATATGATACATTGACTTTGGGTTTTGTTGATTAGAAAAAGTTTCTACTCATAGAAATGGCTAGTGCATATTAAATATGCAAAAGTAAAAAAGTCGAGGCTGTAATATTTTTATTCAACTTTGTTGAAAAGAACACACAATTTTATTAACTGAGAGGTGATAAAGAAAGAACTGGCATTATTTTCATAGCCTGGGAGGGAATATTATTTCCCGCTCCACATTTATCTTTTCAGCTAAGAAGCCACCAAGTGCTTCCACTTTCCTTCCAATTTCCAAAGACTATCGCTGATTAATAAGGGATGTAGTTGATTTTAAGATTATATTTTTCTTTTTTCTGAATTTTCACTTTGGAAGCAGTGTAAACAGAGAACAATGGGAACGTGACAGGACTCAACATGCTGGATGTCCTTCTCCTTCCTGAAGCAGATGAGCTGCTGAAGCTGCACAATGCTTTCACGAACTGCTGACAACAGGCTGCAACATGCGCAACTTTGTGTTGCTCCTGGAGGCACTGAGGGACTGGCAATTTGTCAGTTTCAGATGAGGGGGGGGAAAGAAGCATCTGCCATGTTGAGTTGGATCCCATTGCCGATCATCCATCTGCCATTTTAAGTAGACTCTAGGCCAGACATGTCAAACACAAGGCCCGAGGGCCAGATGCGGCCCGCAAAGTGGTTTCATGTGGCCCGCGAAGCCATCCTGGAAACAGTGAGGGAACGGCCCCCTCTGCCTTGGCCTTGGCCCAGGCCAGCTGGGAGCCAATGTACAATTTTGTGGTGGCCATCTATGCTGAAACACATTCAGTCTTAGCTCCATAAGCCCCCCCCCCAATGGCCTGAGAGGAACAGTGAGGCTCCTCCAGTGGACCATGCCTTGGCACTTGCCCCGGTCCCACCTCCTTCTGCCAGAGACCCTCAGATCTGTCCCACTCCTGCCCAGGCCCCCACAGGCACCCTTGACGCGAACGATGTAGAGCTAGCCACACCCACCCATTAGGCCACACCCACTCCATCCACGGTCACCCAGTAGGCTACACCCACCCTGGCCACACCCACCCGGCCCCGAGGGCAACCGCAATGCTGATGCGGCCCTCAATGAAATTGAGTTTGACACCCCTGCTTTAGGTAACCTTCCGCCATTTTAGGGACTGCAGGCAGCCCATTTTGTAACTGTGTGTCGTTTGTCAAAGAGAGGCTCTTTATTCAGGTACTGCTGTTGCCTCCCAGCTCAGACACCCCGACTTTGGCCTGGAGCTGGTAAGAACTTGAGACCTGAATTCGAGAGAGGCGCTTTTCCCTTTGCAAAGGGGCTTCTTTGCCCCCCCAAAATAGGAAACACCCAGCAATTCAGGCAAAGCAAAGAGCCTTTATTAAGGGCTGTGTGGAAGAGACAGCAATCTGCCCAGAAAGTGGCCAGGACCTGTGTTATTTTTGGCCAGTCTCTTCAAGGCTTCTCCCCAGGGACAGCACAACACAGCAAAGTTGACTGTAAAAATTGTGCTGTGAAACAACTGAAGGTGAGGGGGAAGGTGTTGTGTTTGTGTGTGGAAGTAAGGTAGTTAGAAAGGGATTTTTTTTCTCTAACAGTAATCAAAAGCAGTAATACAGGTGGGAGCAGCGGTGGAAAAGAGTGAGTTGTGAGTAATAGCGTGTGTGTGTGTGTGTGTGTTGTAAGGGACCTGGGTTGTTGAGTCTTGTGTGTCTTGAGTCCACCAAACTGGGTATAGTTAAAAGAACCATGACAGTCGCGGGGGGGGGGGGGGGAAAGACTCAAGTCTTTTTATAGGGTACAGAAAGAAATACAAATCTTTGGTACATCTGATATGCCAGAAATAAGGTGACCAACTTTTTTACAATGAAAAGGAGGACACAAATAAATTGAAGAAAAAAATATCGTAAATAAAAGAAACATTTTATTCATTGCAACAATAATACAGACAACTTGCAAGTGCAAAGTTTGCCGGCCGGATGTTTTCACACGCCCAGCAGTAATTCCTATTGGCTTTCGAAAGCCAATAGGGGGAGTAGCACAGCTCATGCAAAAGTTGAAAAAAAAAAACCCATCAAAAAAGGGTGCCGGAACACCGTTCTGAGCGTTCTATGAGGAAAAAAAAGCCCTGCAGATTAGTCTTCAAATATCGAAAAGGAGGACATGTAGGAGGACACTTTTCGAGGGAGGACAGAACTTACAAAAGGAGGACTGTCCTCCCTAAAGGAGGACGGTTGGTCACCTTACCAGAAAGCAAGAGATCAAAGAATAAAAGAGATGGATTAGATGCAAGGCCTGAATAACAGAAAACAAGGATTTTAGACGCCATGACCTAAGTGGCAAATTTATGGGGTACGTTTCCCTTCTCCAGATAAAATTGGATCTAGCTTAGTACTTGCAAGCGTATCGGAGGCCTTCCAGAATCCACTTCCGGTTGTGAAAAAGCAACTTTTCCCATACCAAAAGAAACAGTCTTGTCTAAGGAAAGAAAAACACTCTTTTTTAACGTCAGAAAAGAGATCCAGCCTCCCTTGTTAAAAGAGCTAATATCGCCTTTTAAAATGCTAATATTAAGCCTAAAATCCCAGGGAAAAGACGGCCCGTGTTTAATTTTAGTCCTGCAAGAGAACATCGAGTTTCACTATCGGGTGACAGAAACGTCCGCAGGAAAGTCGACCAAAGCGAAGCAAATGCCCGCAAGGCCTGTTCTTCGAAGAGGAGCTTCCGAGCGTGGCCTAAAGTCGGCCCGAGGTCCAGTTCAAGGCTGTCAGCAGGTCCAAAGGGCTGAGATTCGAGAGTGACATTCAGACACAATTGAGCTAAATGCGGCTTCCATCAGAGGACAGAGCCAGCCCCATCTCTTCTATAGGCTGCAGCCAACTGTCACTCATCGGAATGTTCACTCTGTTGCTAGGCAATGACCAATAGGATCCTTGTTCTGCTCTCCTTTTCACTGATGTTTTAGATTTTTTTTTCTTTTCCCAACTTATATGTCAACCATTTTCCCAGTGTGTTTGCAAATTCCAGATTTCTTTTTTCTTTTGCATAATTCATCTTTATTTCCATTTCTCTTACTGATAACACTTTATTTGCTAGTTAACTATTTAAATATCTATTAACATTCATAGATAATTGCCTCTGTGGAAGCTTCATTTTGTGGGCAATAGTCCTCTTTGGAAACTTTTTAGAACTCTTCTTTTTTTCTTATTTCATCCAAAATCCCTTGTGTTTTCTCTTTCTTTTTCTCCTTAATGTTCCCCTTCTCTTAAACCAGTGGTTCTCAACCTTTCTAATGCCGTGACCCCATAAAACAGTTCCCCATGTTGTGGTGACCCCCAAGTGGGTGTGGCCACCAATAAGAGGGAGTAGGACAGCTAGGGAAAAGGGAAAAAAATGGCAGACTGCGTTGTTTGGCGACCCCCGTGAAATGGTCGTTTGACCCCAAATGGGGTCCCGACCCACAGGTTGAGAACCACTGTCTTAAACTATCCTCTCATGAGAAACTTTGCTTGCAAAGGGCCCCATCCACTCGCTCAGGAGGCCCCACACCAAATTTACCCCACATCTCCTGGGAAGACAAAATCTCAGTCACCCCCTCCGGACTTCCCCAGGTCTCTTCTCTCTCTGAATGATTTCCTCCTTGGGTTCCCTAGCAAAATTGTCCCAAGCTTTCAAATAAATTCTGGTTTCATCAGAACCAGAAACAGAAAAAGCACAACATACAGATGCTCCAAAGTCTCTTGTTCCAATCCGTCCATACGTGGAGAGCCTTTGTGGTGGGAGACCAAGAGGAGATCCAGCTGGCATCTACCAAACCTCCTTTCCTCTCAAAATGCCTCTTCCTGATCATGTGGTGGCCCACCTTTTCCTTTCCACCTTCTTGGAAAACAGAGCAGCGTCTCAGTCAGAGGGATTGTCCACCCAGCTGGGTCTTCTCCTCCTCTTGAAGATTCCTTGTCCCAGATGTTTCTCCTTGGGGTCTCCACTCCCAAGAACAGCCTGGCTGTTACGAAAAGAGGCTCTCCTTCCAAATCTTGGCTCTTGAGAGGAAGAGGGAGTTAGCACAACTCCTCATGAGCTTCTTTTGTGCTTGGACACACACACACACAGACACATCTCAACTGACGCTGCCTCTGATTCTCGCTCTGAATTGGAGCTCACATGTAAAGAGGACAAATCACACACTGGATGCTCCTCTGTACTCATTTTGATATTTCTCTGCAAAAAAGAAAAACCAGTCAAAGCTCAAAAGAATCCACCAGAGATCATCCAATGTCCCCCTCTGTAGGAGGAAGAGCCCCAGGAGATACTTTACAGTTGTTTAGTCACAACAACTCCTGGCCACTCCTGTGCACCGTCACGGGAAGATCTTCAGTCTACAAAAGGACAGATCTGCCCCAAGAGAGACTTCCTGCTTTTGGGATAGAAGGAGAATTGGGGGAAGCAGCAGCAGCTGGGAGGGGAGGAAGATTTTCATCGAAATCCTTCTCTGCTGCTCTTACACCGAGGTCTTTGAAAGGGACAGAACTGGGATGCCTCTTCCCAGCTCAGAAGAAGACGGGACTGTTCCACCCTCAGACTCAGCCAAGTCAAGACTGGAGTCCCAGCAAGAGGCCGAGATCTCAGAGGCTCCCCAAGAGGGCTGGGAAAGCAGGACAGGAGGAAGCCCTGAAGAAGCTCCCCAAAGGGAGAGACTTGGGAGGAACCTCCCCATCTTCCTTCCATCACCTAGAAAAGGAGACTTACTGAAAAACCAGATCCCAACAATCACAGCCAGCAGGACAAGGCCAGCCACAACGCAGCCGATGATGATCCCCAGGCTGGATTTTGGTTCTGAATTGGGAGAAAAAGCAGATAATTGAAGGAGAGCCCAAAACAATCATTCCAATTAGGGGAGAGACCTAAAGCAGCGAAAGCTGGAAATTCCCCAAATTAAAACCTCCATGGGCTCCTCTTCATGTCCCTCTAAGGGTAGCATGAAGGTGCCTTGCTAACCATTGTTAGGACGTAACCTCATGTCGCTGCCTTCTTCTCCCACCAGCCCAACATGAAGGCAACAGAATTCCTCTTTAGCTCTTCAGCTCAAAGCAGCCGTTTGCAATCTGGTGACTCTCAGCCGTTTATAGAAACAGAAACTTCAGCAACAAAATTTGTGAAAAAATAAAAAACGTTGTGTTCTTTTTAAGAGGCTGCCCCAATTAGTCATGACTCTGGGTGGAATTGGGCAGCTCTGGAATGCTATCTTTTTTCTTAAACCTGAGTATTTGCATTTTATTATTTAAAGAGGCTCTCCTCTTTAAATAATAAAATGTAAAAAATAAAATGTAAAAAAGTAAAAGCGTTCATGTCACCTGTCCTTTTTTTTTAAGTATACAGTTTCATTTTCTTTATCTTTTTTAAGATTGGTCTTCCACCGCCGTTCTTTCCTCAAGACTAAAACACGCTGATTCCTGTCTAGACATCTACTGAGGATTCAGTTTCAGTCTGGTTGCTTTACTGTGGATTTCTTCCAATGGCTGTGAATCTGCATTAATGGGTGTTGCCCAGAACTGGATGTTCTCCTTGAGGCAAGGTCCGATCATGGCAGAACAGAGGCAGACGATTCCCTTGATCGTTTGGAAACCATGGTTTATTTGGTACAGCCAAAAATTCCACATTCCTTCTTTTAAGGTACTTTGTGCTTCTGGCTCATATTCCGTTTCCCATCCAGCCAAATATGGCCCACCCAATACTTGCACTTCAGATGTTTATATCGTAAGTGAAGAACATCACGCTTAGAATCCTACACTTGGAAGGAAGGAACCTAAGAGGTCATCCTGTCTAACCCCCTGTTTGGTGCAGGATTGCCATGTTAGCCATCAGACCAGCCACTCTAGGCATTTCCTGAAAGCAGCCACAGTTCATCCATTTTAATCAAATGTGGCATTCAGAAAAGGGGCTTCCAGATGCCTCTTCATTTGTGTATTTTGGGGATTCTAAACAAAAGCAAATCGGTTTCTGGTGCTCAGCGTAGTCGCTGCTTTTCTGCTGGAGGGAGGAAACGGGAGAAGAAAGGCTAAGAGAGGCTCTGAGGCCATTTCATCAGGATCTGCCAGCTCTTGTGATGGGATCTGCTGCTTCCCTTAAATCACCTGAAGCCAGTTCTACGGACTGGTCCCTGCAGCTTCACCAACCTCCACAATGGAAAAACCAATGGATCAAAGCTCCAGTAGGCTCACATCTGGGGGTGAGATTCCTCTCCCACAACCCTCCAGCCTGCCCAAGAGCCCAGCCTTTCCCTCCCTGCAGCCTCTCACCCTTCAGGGCTACGTCCAGAGGCTCCTGCAGGCTGTCGTGCTCCACGTGGCACCGATAGCGGCCCCTCCGTTTGGGATCGATCTGGATGCTGAGCCAGGCGTGGAAGGTCCCATCCGCGTTGGGGGCCACGGAGCCACGGAGGGTGTCCTGCAGCCAGACCTCCCCGTCCCTCGTCCAGGAGGCCTCGATCTCCCTGGGGTAGAAGCCATCCAGGCGGCAGACGTGCGTCTCCATCCCATCCTCCACCTCCGTCTTGCTGCTCATGGTCACCTCTGGGGGCTCTGCAGAAACGGCACCACCGGAATTAACTCTGAGCCCCTCCAGAGTCTCAAAGGTGGGTGGGAAATTTGGAGGGGCAGGAAAATCTCCCATTACTTCCCACTCCACACCTGCAGCGTTTCCAAGAGTTTTGGGAAATGCTCCAGATCTGGAAAATGCTCAACCGCAAGAACTCCTGATGCTGAGTCCTTCCCAGGGACTCAGCCTGAAAAGCCTCCAGCAGCAAATTGAGGGTCCAAGGAAATTCCTCTCTGGCTGCTTTGAACTCTGAATGATCTTGGATTGTTTCCTTCAGGGGAGGGAAAGTGGAGCTGCTCTTTTAAGTTCCCTTTCAAGACAACAACAACACAGAAGTTTCTCCCTTCAGCTAATACTAGGGAAGGGGGGAGTCAAGGAGCCCAGAGGGGAAGGGGTCGAACCAGTGGGGAGAGGTTGTCTAGATGGGAAAATAAGAACAAATCACAGGAAAAGATTATACTGTGAGCCCCCCCTTGTGGGGTGGGGGGGGTGTTCCTGAAGGTGGAGAGGGGGCTGTTTTGAGGAAAGACTCACTAGGTCAGAATGGAAGGAACCTGTTTGGGGTTTAAGAGAAAGACCCACAGAAACTTTGGAAAGAAAAAGACCCCTCAATGTTGGCCTTTTTTTGCCCAAGCGGGGGGGGGGGGGGGGGGGCCTGAAGATGTCTTATTAATGGTAGAAGTGGAGACACCCAGTGGTGGGCATGGGAAGTGCATCATCAGGTACAAGGCAGGGAGGGAGCCCCCTGTGGGATGTGGGGGGGGGAAAGAGAGTTAATGGGGAGACATTAAGGGGGCTCCTCACACTTGGCTACAGTTTGGCTCATGGGGGTTTCACTGAAAAATCCCAAGTTCTCCCTGTTGCCCCTTATTGAGCTGTGAAGAGGACACCCCGAGTTCTTTTGCTGCCTGGTCCACCCAGATTCCCCCCAGGCGGAGGCTGCATTTCCTGGACCATGGAATGGCGGCCTGGCAAGGGGAACCAATCAGGGCTTCCCGCGTCATGGGGAGGGGCTGGGAGGGGAGGGGGAGGATTCCCTCCTGGGCCGTCAGACTGCCGACCAGGGACCCAAAGGGGCCGAATGTGCACCAGAAATCCAGCCCTAAAGGAGGAAAGTCCAGCCTGGATCCAGAGGCTCACCTGTCCTCAGCAGCGTCTCCTTCCCATAGGACAGGTACCTCTCCAGCCACTCAATGCAGATTTCCTCCAGGTAGGATTTCTGTCCCTGATTCAATCCTGGAACAGCGTCCCATTTCCTCTGGGAGATCTGGGCCTGGGGTTGGGGAGCCACCCAGGTGAGGGTCTCCTTGTCAAAGGTGAGGAAGGTCCTCCCGTCGTAGCCAAACTGATCAAACCCTCCTTTGCTCTCTTCTCCCTGCAGCTCACAGCCGTACACCCTCTGCCATGTGTGAAGGCCTGAAATAGGGACAGGATGATGGTTTGGGGAGTCCTCAAGATGGACAGACACCCTCCTCCCTGAAGGGGACCCTGGAGGGAGGCACTGACACCCCCGTTTCCTCCCTAGCATTCAAGGGAAAGAAAGTCCCCATCAATAACCATCCTTCTCCCCTCCCTCGACCTGTGTCCCTGCATTCCCCCCCCTCCCCGGATGGAGCCCCTGACCTATATCACTTTCTACAGGAAGACCCTCACCTGGGTGGCTCCCGACCCCCAAGGCTCAGATCCCCCAGGAAAGGAGAAGCTGCAAAAGCCAACAGAGGATCCCAAGGGAGACGGCGAAAAGGAGCTGCAGAAGAAACGGAAAGAGGGAGATCCTTCCAACTTTCTTTCTGCTGTTCCTCTCTTGGGGAGACCCTGGGGGGGGGGAGGAAGGGATCCTAAGGGGAACAGTGGCCTGAATCTGCAGCTCCAAAGAGGAACTGAGAATCTCTCAAGATGATCTGCTTGATCAGCAAAGAAGCTAGCAAGGATCCCTGTGACCATCAATCTTGGTCTGGTTCCCATCTTGGGATATCCAGAAACAAACCATGGCTTAGTGCAATGTGGGAATGAAGCCTCGAAGTGGCCCAAAGAAATATTTTCCTTTGCAACAGCAGCCAGTGGCTCGATTTGATCTGCACCCCCAAAGGGTTGTTGACCTTTGAAATGAAGTTTGAAGTTTACAGTCTCTGCAAGGATCTGGAGAAGATGTTTCAACTTCAAATGACCAAATTCTTGGATTTAAAAAGAAATGTTTCTACTTCTGCTTGGGCTTGAGAGTGAGGAAGGACGCCAAATCTGAGGGAAAACCACTTGTAAGTACAGTTGAACTAAACTGACAGTTCTTTCCCTTTCCACTCCCTTGAATGACCGGGTGAGGGGATCCTTTCTCTGCAGCTTCTGCTCAGCCTGAGACCTTCCCTTTGGAGGGAGAGGGAGATCCTCGTCAGCTGCAGACTGATCCTATCCTTGAGGGGAGATTTCCTGATCTGCCCATAGGGAAAAAAAAAGTTCTGGATTTCTGCCCAAGAAGAATCTCCTGCCATTCACAGGAAGGCAGTGAATATAATTGGCTGCAGTTTTCAACTTCTAACACATGAGAACAAGCTCTGTCTTATTTCACAAGCATCAAAAGCGAAGAGGAGAAATTGTCTTATTTGCATCAAATCTGTGTGTGCTCATCTCAAGTTTGGCACAGAATTGAATACATATTTGGGCAACAAAAAAAACAGGCACAGGGATCACGTAGAAAAGGCAAGCTTAATTTTTTTATTTTTAGTGTAAGAAGGCTGTTAATGCATCTCTACAGATCTACGCAGGAAACAATTCTGCCCCATCTCTGAGCCTGGATGTTCAGGGGTTCCCCGAGGCCTGAAAAATAGTTCAAGGGTTCCTGCAGGGTCAAGAGGTTAAGAAAGGCTGCTTTAGGGAGGCTAAAATATATTTATATTTGTAATTGCTGTGAAGAATATCAGAAGCCACTTTTTTATGTCTTTTTTCTTTGCTTTCTTCAACTTGTTTTCTTTTCTGATATAGTTTTTGATTTTTCTTTGATTTCTTTCTTTTATCTCCTTTACTTTATGTTACTTTCTATTAGTTTTTATCTTTTGTTGAAAAGGTTCAATACAAATTATATAAAAAATTTCAGAAGGCGAACAGGATATCAGAGATCATTAAAATGTATTGAAAACACAGAGATTAATGTGATAAAGCCTTTACATAAAATCAAGGGTGGGACCATGTTATGAATGCTGCTTTAGAGAAGCTAAAATATTTATATCTTTTATTTATATTAATAACTGCTGTAAAGAATATCAGAAGCCGTTTCTTCATACCTTTGTTTCTGTAGTCCTTTTTTTTTCAACTATTTCCTTTTCTTGCACTGTTTGATTTTATTTTTTATTTCTTTCTTTTGTCTCCTTTACTTTAAATAACTTTCTACTAGTTTTTATCTTCTTGGTGAAACACGTTTTAATAAATATTATATAAAAAAAACGAAAATGCCAACAGGATGTCAGGGATCATTAAAATGGTACTGAAAACACGGAGGCTAATGTCACAAAGCCTTTGCGTAAATCAAGGGAGGGACCACATCTGGAATATTGTGGGCAGTTCTGGTCACCAGACCTCCAAAAGGGCAGGAGGGAGGTGGGGAAGGTCCAGAGGGGGCGACCCAGAGGATGGGAGGGTGGAAGCAGCCTCCCTTGGAGGAAAAGTTGGGACATTTGGGGCTGTTTGGCCTGGAAAAGAGGCTCCCCTCCACTCTGGCCGCTCTCCTTCCCCCTTTCTCCACCAGGGGGAGCCCTCTGGGTCCAGCTCTGCTCCCCTGAGAGGCCAGCAGGGGGCCTGGAGGGATCCTCGGGGATCAGGGGCAGAACTAGGAAAGTCTGGGATCTGCCTGGAGGGGGGCAAGGAAAGGGCAGCAGAAAGAGGGGGGCTGCACACCCTGTGATGAAAGAAGAGAAAATGGCGGATATTTGTGGAGATTTACCTCAGCCCAAAGAAATAGCCCCTCCCCTGAATCAGGTTCCTTGAAGGTGAATCTTCTCCCCCAAAGATGGCAGAAGGTGGGGGGGCTGCTGAAGAAGGCCTCTCCCCCTCCAGGGTAGACCCACCAAGAGGGCAGCGCAGGAGTCCAGCCGGAGGGACCAAGGATGGGAAGCCATCAGCGCTCTGAGCGACTCAGGAAGGGCCCCAAATGGGGGTTTCTTTCTTCTCTGTCCTTTTTCCCCCTCAAGATTGGGAGGATCCTGGAAGTGATCCTGTCCCCCCCCCAATAGTCCCCCCACCCCATTTGGCCTCCTGGCCTCTCCTTCTACCTGGAGGGTGAGAAGAAGCTCCTGCCATTTTGTGCCCCACTCATCCCTCCAAAAAGAGATGAAAGAGAGGGATCTAGTCAGCCCAGATGAATCTGCAGTTGATCCCTCAATTCTCTGGAGTGGAAACAGAAAACCAAGGACCTGCTTCCCCCAGCATTTCCTTAGGATCCACCTGCTTCTTTTCTGGGAGGGGAGGGACCTGGGATCCCCTCCCTCTCCCACAGCAGGGGATCCACCAAGGCCAGGACCCTCTGCCTTTCAGGGGAGGAGGTGAGATTTTGGTCTCTTTTAACTCAGTTTATATCCATATCCACATCCTATCAATAGACAGAGAGAGAGAGGGATAACTTGAAAAAAAATGTTTTTATTAACTGCAATTGGCAGAAAACGTCAGCTATGGAGGCAACGACAACCTTATACTGAGTTTTAAAAAAAGAATAAACATATTAAAAACCTTTTTAAATGTGGGGAAGAAGCCATTCCATTTGAAGGCACCCCCTTTTCTCCCCCCTGCTGGTTCCTGGGGAGGGGATTATGGGGCAGGAGGAGCCACCCAACCCATCACTTACCTTCGCTCTGATTGTAGCGAGTCCTCAGAGTCTCCAGGCCATTTTTGAAGGAATCCTCAGCCTCAAGAAAATTCCGGGTATTAATGTCCCAGTATTGGGGGTCTTCTTTCTCCGCTTTCTCCATCCAGGAGACTCGAGGCTGCATCCTCCGGCTGTTGCTGTCGTAGTGAACGAAGACCTGACCGTCCACGTACCCCACACCGACAAAGTGGGGCTGCCCCTGACTGGGCTCCGAGATGGAGGAGTAGAAATACTTCAGGGAGTGGGAGGAGGCGCCTGGAAGGGACCCAGAAGGGCAGAGTTAGGGGGCTCCAGTCAAGGACCCTCATCCTATGGAGGCTCCAATCTGAGGCTCTGGGGGGAAAGGAAGAAAAAGAAAGATGAAAGAGGAGAAGGAGGAGGAAGAAGAAGAAGAAGTAGGAGGAGAAGAAGGAGAAGGAGAAGAGGAGGAGGAAGGAGGAGGAGGAGGAGGAGAAGAAGGAGGAGGAGGAGGAGGAGGGGAGGAGGAAGAAGAGGAAGAAGAAGAAGAGGAGAGCTGGGGCAGGAGAAAGGGGGAAAGGAAGGGGGAGAGGATGGAAGAGGAGGAGGAAGAAGAAGGAGGAGAAGAAGGAGAAGGAGAGGAGGAGGGAGAAGGAGGAGGAGGAGAAGAAGAGCTGGAGAGAGGAGAAGGGGGAAAGAAGGGGGAGAGGATGGAAGAGGAGGAGGAGGAAGAAGGAGAAGAAGAAGAAGGGGAAGGAGGAGGAGAAGAAGAGGAGGAGGAGAGCTGGGGGGAGGAGAAAGGGGGAAAAGAAGGGGGAGAGGATGGAAGAGGAGGAGAAGGAGAAGGAGGAGGAGGAGGAGGAGGAGGAGAGCTGGGGGGATGAGAAAGGGGGGAAAGGGGGGAGAGGATGGAAGAGGAGGAGGATTGCTGCACCCACAATCACTCTCGCGGCTGCATTCTGAACCAACTGCAGCCTCTGAACGCTCTTCAAGGGTAGCCCCATGTAGAGCGCATTACAGTAGTCCAGTCTTGAGGTGACAAGGGCATGAGTAACCGTGAGTAGAGCCTCCCGGTCCAAATAAGGCCGCAACTGGTGCACCAGGCGAACCTGGGCAAAGGTCCCCCTGGCCACAGCCGATAGATGTTGTTCCAAATATAGCTGTGAGTCCAGGAGGACAGCCAAGCAAGCTGTTCTTTTCATGATCACCATCCAGAGGGGCTTCTGTCAGTTAATATCTGTCAGTTTTTAAATGCCTTTTATATATTTTCTCTGAGGAACAACTAGGAAAACCCCAAGACGCCTATCTGATTACTAAGGTATAACAGTACATTGTAAATATTTTGGATTCTGCAGACTGTCCTATGCTGAGAGCTCTTGAAACGGAAACAGGAGTATTTTGGGTGGAAAAATCCCTTTCCTGTCCTTGAAAATAGCTTTGAGGATATTGGGGTTTAGGATGAGGAGGGGGGGGGGAATTGGGATCCAGGAGAAAGTGAAAATCAAAAAGGTGGATCTTTAGGAAGATTATTCAAGGTTCAAGGAGCCTTTCTCTCCTTAATCCGATGGCTGAATTGCACCACCCTCCGGGTCTGCCAACACAGAGAACCCAGTTAAGAAACAAGCCGGGTCTTCCCAGCACCAGAAGCCACAAAGAGCCTCGGAGACCCTCCAAAGGCAGGGAAGAGGACCCAAGAGGTTGTGCGAAGGAGCCAGGAGGTTGTGAATTGACCTGGTCCTGTGCAAACGCCGCTTTCCGACAACCTCCACTTTGCAAGTGGGAAAGAACTGCGCTTGGGGGCGTCCAGATAGACTTGACTGACCTCTGGAGGAGCCACCCTTGTCCTGTTCCCAGAAGGGATCTCCGGGGGGGGGGGAGGAGGAGGGGAGAGGAAGCAGCAGAGTCCCATTCACGCTCTGGGGCCTGATCTCAAAGTGGCCAGAGGGGGGGGAGGGGGAGCGGACTAGAAAGAGGACCGAATCAGGGTTCTCTTTCTGGGAATAAACTTTTGCGGGGGAGGAGAGAGAAAGGTTCCCTGGAAGAAAAAGGGGCCGAAACCCCCCAAAGGCCCCAAAGGGACTCACCAAAGTAGCCCTCCCGGAGGGCGAGCGCCACCAGCACCAGGAGCAAGAGGGGCGCAGAGCGCAGAGCCATCCTGGCCGCGATCCCCAACCTGCGCCCCGAAGAACCAGGCGATCAACAACGCAACTATCCAGAACAGGCTGGTGATTGGCCAATCCCAACCAGTAGGAAAAAAAAGCATTCTCATGTCGTCATTGTTGCTAGGCAGACGTCCAGGCCGTTGCTAGTAAGGCCGCGACCGCCAGCCCGCGCCACGCTCTTCTCCTGAAGCCACAAAGCAAAGAAAGAGGCGCTCTCGGTGATCAACAACGCAACGATCCAGAACATGCTGGTGATTGGCCAATCCCAACCAGTAGGAAAAGAAAAAGCATTCTCTTGGCGTCATTGTTGCTAGGCAGACGTCCAGGCCCAACCGGGGAGAGGGTCGTAGAAAGGGCATCTAAAGTTCCATCGGGAAATCCCCTTCCGGGGACTCCGCCTCTTGGGGGAGGGGAGGGGCTGCGGGGCTGAGAAAAGCGGGAGGGTTCTCCGGGGGAGAGGAGACCCCGCACAGCCCCTCCCAGCCGGGGATCAGGGGGAGGGGCCAAAAGGGCCAATGCACTCACTCCTGGGCTGAGTCAACAGAGGGACAAGGTCAAGATGAGGAGAAATGGGGGCAGCGCTTTAATCCTGCACCTGTGAGGCCACCCTGGGATACAACTTTGGTCACCAGGATGAAAAAAGAGAGACAGCCTAGCCTGGAAAGCGTGCAGAGAAGAGCAACAAAGGGCCTGAAGGCTCAATCCTACGATGAAGGGTGGAGGGAGCGAAGCATGGCAGAGAAGGAAGAAGGGGGACAGGATAACTGTCAGTATTGGATGGCGTCATGGTTCTGAAAGATGAAGCTCTTCAAAGAACTTTGAGGCATTGTTTACCTTAAAGAATCTTTTAATTTGCAACATAGCTTCGGCATCGTACATAGTGAAGCCAAAATCTGGAATTCTCCTCCCCCAACATACAGTATCTAGGCCAGGGGTAGGCAACCACGGCTCTTTTATGACTTGTGGACTTCAACTCCCAGAATTCCTAGCCAGCATGGCTCAGCTTGGAAACCTCTCCCTTTCCCCTCAGCAATGCTGGCTCAGGAATTCTGGGAGTTGAAGTCCAGGAGTCATAAAAGAGCCAAGGTTGCCTACCCCTGATCTAGGCACAACTCACTCCTTCATTTAACAGTCATTAATCACATTCTCCAATTGGTTTGAAGTAGGACCTTTCCCTCCCATTCCATAACCCCCAGCATTTATGTCCTCTTATTACAACTAGCCTTGAAGAATATGCTATTGAATTATTGTTATGGCTAACTAGTCCCCAAGCACATTCTCCCCCCCTCCTCCCTTCCAGCACCATCTAATTTCTACTCTAAAAGCAATACACAGGTTAAATAGAAAATGTCTGCATCTTCATATATTGTCAAGCAAGAACATCCGATGTTAGCAGAATTGACAGATGGGCTGTCACAGAGAAGAAGGCATTGATTTCTTCTCCAAACCTCCAGAGGGCAGGAGAAAAAGCCATGGGTGGATGGGAGTTTGTTAAAGAGAGATCCAAGCTAGAAGTAAGCAGACATTTTCTAATAGTGAGAACATTTAATCGATGGAATAGCTTGCCTCCCTGAGTTGTGGGTGTTCCATCACTGGACGTGTTCAGAAATAGACTGGACAACCTTTTGACCACGATGGTATATAAGGTCTCCTGCCTTGAGCTGAGGGTTGGACTAGAAGACCTCTGAGGTCCCTCCCAGCCCAGTGGTTCTATGTTCCAGGTGAAAAACCTCAAGTGATCTTCACTCTGGCTGAAAAGCTTCTGTTGTATCCTCAAGGCAAAGACTCGTCTTTCTAAGGGAGAAGATCAGAGGTTTCAAATATAGTACATCAATTCCTTATTTTCTTTTATTCTCTGGGGAAGACACGAATCTTTGGGAAGCTTCAAACTCTTCAGTTTTCTCCGCAATAAACTAAGATGGCTGCTCTCTCCTCTGGCGCTTCTTCTGGGGAAATATTAGACTAAAATAATAAATCTCTCTTCCGGTTATGATCGTTGTTATTACGATGGCCAAATTTAGTCAATAATGAATTGTTGCTCCTGATTTACACTTCTCAGGATGGGCAAAGTGTGAGTAAGAAGCAAAAAAAAATTTTCAGGGCTTGAACCGTATTCTGCTCTCTTCTGGAGTCAAAGTGAAGTTGGTCTCTCTGAGCAGCAAGGAGGGTAAAATCCCTATTGTCAACCTCCCCAAACAGGGAGCAACTCAGCTGAGAAGAAACCAAAACCATTTATTTTCAGCAAAGACTGAATTGTTGCAATATATGTGCAGTTATTAAGGAGGGAGCCGTTTGGCTATGCCAGGGGTAGGCAACCTTGGCTCTTTATGACTCGTAGACTTCAACTCCCAGAATTCCTGAGTCAGCATGGCTCAGCTTGGAAACCTCTCCCTTTCCCCTCAGCATGGCTGGCTCAGGAATTCTGGGAGTTGAAGTCCACGAGTCATAAAAGAACCAAGGTTGCCTAGCCCTGCCCAAATGCCTGAATTTTGATCATGTGACCATGAGGAAAAAATATTTAAATATTTAAACCAGGGATCTTCAAACTTGGCCCCCTCATGACTCGTGGACTTCAACTCCCAGAATTCCTAGCCAGCCTGGCTCAGCTTGGAAACTTCTCCCTTTCCCCTCAGCATGGCTGGCTCAGGAATTCTGGGAGCTGAAGTCCACAAGTCATAAAGCAGCCTAGGCCTAGGCCAGAGTGAGGCAACCTTGGCTCTTTTATGACTCGTGGACTTCAACTCCCAGAATTCCTGAGCCAGCCTGGCTCAGCTTGGAAACCTCTCCCTTTCCCCTCAGCATGGCTGGCTAAGGAATTCTGGGAGTTGAAGTCCACGAGTCATAAAAGAGCCAAGGTTGCCTACCCCTGGGCTATGCAATCGATTTCATGTTCCATTTTTCTAAACCGGGAAAATCCATAAATGGACATCTGTAGTGCTTGAACGCTACATTTGGTATATTCGCTATTTGTCAAACTCTGGATGATAAAAATATATGGTCAGCATAATACAATTCTTATTTTTTTTTAAAAAAAATACAAATGCATTAATTACTTTAATATAAATCTCTTCTTTAAAAAGAAATATTTTTTTGAAAATTCTATTACACATTATACATGGCATTTTTATACAACTAATTCCAAAAAAAAGAGAGAGAAAAAAACCTTCCCCTTTCAATCCCAGCAAGTATGAGGAAGATTAACAGCTTATCTCTCTCCCTTAAAGTAAAACCAGTAACTCTCCACCCTCTTCCTCACCCCCCTCACTATGAAATCTTCTCCAAAACCTCTTAATCAGCACAAATCTATTAAAGGTCATCAGAAATAACAACGTAGCCGCTACAAGCTATGTTACAAAGCTATTACAGGCTACACAAGGCAGTTTAGTGGTTAAGGGATCAGGTTAGAAAGCGACTGTGAGTTCAAGTCCTGCCTGAATACCTTTGATAGCTTCAGCAGCTAAAATAAATAAAAAAATAATATCTACTAAACCCAGATTGAATCCTTTTGATTCCACAATTATAAACACATAAGATTTTCTTTTCTTCTCTGTTCCTCAATAAAACAAGGTCACTGACTCAATGATAAAAGCAGTGATGAAAGACCCCAAATACATCCTGGTTCCAGCATGCTGGAAGGGTCTGAAGGGCTCCTCCTGAGAGTCCGGCCTAATTCGAAAGAAGTCCGATTCCCCTCTTCTCTCCTCTCTCCTCATGCTGGGAGGGTCCACTCGGGCTGCAAAATGGAGGGAAAAAGCAGGCAGGCTCAGTCTGAGAGGGAGCCAAGAGGAGGAATCCCACCGTCCAGGCCGAGGGATCAGGAAAGATCAGCCCAGGGAAGGAGCAGAAGCAGCAGCCTCTAAGGAGGGATCAGCCGGGTGGGATTTACAAGAGGGGAGGGGCAGGGCTGGGATTGGCTCCTGAGGTGGGTGAGAACCTGCCCCACAAGTCTGGATGCCTCCCCTCAAATAGATAAATCCAGCTCTAGTCCATGTTGCCCTCAAGAGATACATGCAAATGGATTCCAGAGATCCCAGGTCTCCCTTCAGCATCTGGAGGGAGGGATTCCCAGATGGGCTCAAGGAGGGGAGAGAAGCCCCCTCTCCATCCATGACTGCAGGACCCTAGGAAGACCCTCATCTGCCCCTTCCCTTCCCTCCCCCTTGCAGGGGGAACACTGGGATCTCCTCTTGGCAGGTCTCTGAGCCTCCTGATCCAAGACAGTCAGGGCCTGAGAGTCTGGCCTTGCAGGAGGAGAGTTTGGGGGCAGGTAGACCCCCTCCCCAAAGCCCCACTGGCTCTCCCCCAAATTCCTTCCCTTGCAGTGTTTGAGATGAACAGCAGAGAGAAGAGGGATTTCCCAAAGGATCTTCACCATCAACTGGTCCTTGGACCTCAAAGCTCTCCCCTCCCTCCCTCCCTCCCTCCCTCTCCCCCCAATTCAGCCTCCACGGGGGCCACTCACCTGCGAGGGGGCTGCTAAAGGACCTGGTGGCTCCCTGCATGGGAGAGAAAGACACAGAGTGAGTCTCTGCCTTGTCTGGATCCTCTGAGGAGTACCAATCTCTCTCTTCGCCATTCAACCTCTGCAGCTTCACGAAACTCTCAGCGGAGACCAGGCTTTTTATTCATTTATTATTAAACCTCTGGGTCACCCATCCCTCTCCAAGGTGACTCTGTGCAGTTTACAGGAAAATTCAATAAAATGCCGCGTAGAACATTTCAAACAATAAATTGAAAGACCAGATTCCCCCACCAGATCACGTTGTCCTTCCTTCGACAAGAGTATATTCAGAGTGTGGCCTCTGTCCTGAGCCAGGCCCAGGACAGTCTGGGAGAGGCGCACAGCTGCCGTAGCTGTCCTGGGCCGCTTCCGAGGCCAAATCCACGGAGGGCAGATTGACGTCTCCCAGGGCCAGAAGCCTGGGGAACTCCCTGCCAACACTAAGATGGCCCCCAGCACCTCAGGAAAAGGGGTGACCGCATAGAAAGGAGGCGGGTCCAGTAGCAACAATCCCAACTGATTTCATGAACCTCGCTTCAAAAACAATCCCAACAGATCCCGTGAACCCAGGTTCAGAAATGGGGAGTCACCACCAGAAATCTGGGGAGCAAGACCCCTAAAAGTCAAAGGAGGTTCTCAGAGGACCACTGCCACCCCACCTGCCCTGTCCTGGGGTCTCAGCTGGTGCCAAACCCTAAACCCAGCTGGGCCCATCTCTGAGAGGGGGACACACAGACGCACACACACACACACCCCTTCCAGATTCAGCCTGGTCTCAGCTATGCCAGCAGATGAGTCTCTAACCACTGGGGATCATGGCATGGCTGGCTGTGCTGGTCAGAGTATATGGCTATCTGGTCAGAGTATATAGCTAGCTTAGGAATTAAGAACTGTCCCCTTAAGGGGAAGCCTTCTGGAAAGCCCTCACTGCTCAGCCCCACCAGGGGAAGAAGCGGGTTCTGGATCACGGAGGGTCCAATCCCCCCTCCTTCTGCTGGAGAAAAGCCCTGATCCGTTTGAAATCTCCCCAGAGCAGGAAGTGGATCTGGGGATCCCTCTCCCCAAAAGCTCTGAGAAGCTTCTGGGATTGTGGGGAGGAGCAGGAAGAAGGAGGCCGAGGCCTTTGCCTTGGGAGACTGGGAAGGGCTGGGAGACCATACTGGAGGGACTGGGCAGTGGGACTACAGGTAGTCCTCGACTTACAACAGTTCATTTAGGGACCGTTCAAAGTAACAATATCATTGAAAAAAGTGACTTATGGCCCTTTTTCACACTTACGAACATTTTAGCGTCCTCATGGTCACTGTGCTGGTCAGAGGATATAGCTATCTGGTCAGAGGATATAGCTAGCTTAGGAATTAAGAACTGTCCCCTTAAGGGAAAGCCTTCTGGGTAATGTAGTTTATGTTACCTGGTCATATCTGTGCTAGGATTGGCCACTCGGAAGGACTTCTGTTTTATTATGGGACATCCTGGCCACGTGCCAGTCAGCGAGTTCTATATGAAGTCCAGCCATGAGGATTGGTATCTCCGTTAGTATGGGAGAAGCTATTTTCTTTTTCCCTCCGTGATGGGTCCAGATTACAATCTATATTCCCGAAGAATCTCTACAGCAGTGTTTCTTAACCTTGACCATTTTAAGGCATGTGGACTTCAACTCCCAGAATTCCACAGCCAGCATTGCTGGTTGTGGAATTCTGGGAGTTGAAGTCCACATGCCTTAAAATGGTCAAGGTTGAGAAACACTGCTCTACAGTAACTGTGAGTTATTGACTTGAGGGTGCCTGATGAATAAAGTCATTGGCATGAACCCCTTCCCCGGAGTTAACTCCGCCTGTATCAGGTAACGCCCAGCAATCTCCTTGCTTGATCCAGGACACGGGTGGTTTCCTATTTCCCACCCAGGAACGGAGGGCTCTTCCCTCCAAAGGAGGACAAGCTGCCTTTCCCTGCCTGAATCCCACAGGGAGAGTTTCCCTTCTCCTCTGCAGAACAAACCAGGGCAAGGGAAGTGGATTTTGTGGCACCCAGCCGGCTTTCATGCCTCGGGTGGGACTAGAACTCACCGTCTCCCAGTTAGTCTCACTTGGTGCCCTCATGGCTAAACTGTCTCTAATTATTCTAATTATTTCACCAGAACCGGACATAGAGGGAACAGGGGGAGGAGCTATTAGGAGGGCCTTTCAAAGGGGGGGGGCTCTCCCTCTTTTCATCCCCCCCCCATCCGCCCAAAGTCTTGCAAAGGGTCAGCACGGTGTCCCCAGCAGCAGCTCTCTCCGACTTACCCTGGCCTGAACGGCTGGATCCTTCCTCATTTCCTGGGAAAGAAGGAAAGAAAAGAGGGTGAGGAGATTTCTTTCTCCCTTGGCGGATAGAGGGAGAAACTCAGCTCCCTCCCTCCCTTTCCCTCCCCCCCACAATCAAGGACAAGACGGGGGGGGGGCGGAGAGAGTTTGAACCAAACTGCTTTGGCCTGAAGAATAGGAGAGAATTCTTAAAATGGACACGTGCATCACACAGGGCAATGATAGCTCAGCCACTCTCCAGCCCGAAGGCAGAGCTGACCTGAGCATACAGATGGATCCAAAGTCTCTTTTGCCAATCAGTTCAGGTTTAGAGAGCCTTGTGATGGGAGGCCAAGAGGAGATCCAGCTTTGGAATCCCCCAAAGCTCCTTTTCTCTCAAAATGCCCCCTTTTGTTCCCTAATTTTTATGGAGCTTCTGACTCTCATTTCACCCAACCTTTCCTTTCCGCCCACTTGGGAAACAGAGCAGCTTCTCAGCCGGAGGGACCTTCCACCAGCTGGGTCTTCTCCCCTTCTTGAGGGTTCCTTGTCCCAGATGTTTCCCCTTGAGGACCCCACTTCCAAGAACAGCCTGGCTGGGATGAAAGGGGGGGCCCATCTTCCCCAGACTGGTTCTTAGAAGGAAGAGGAAAATAGCACACACACACACACACACACACACACACACACACACACACACCTCAAGTGATGGTGCCTCTGGTCCCTGCTCTAACTTGGAGATTACATGGAAAGAGGACAATTCACTCACTTGGTGCTGCTCTGTAGTCATCTTGACGTCTTTCTGCAAAGAGAAAAATCAGTGAAAGCTAAAAGAATCCACCAGAGACCATCCAATCTCTCCCTCTCTGGGAGGAATATCTTCAGGAGATATTTCGCACTTTGCCTCATTAATAAAGACAGAAAGATTGTCAAAAACCAAAAGGATCTCCTGATTTGCCCCAAGGGAGACCTGCTGCCTCCGAGATGGAGGGAGGGAAAGGGGGGAAGCAGCAGCAGCAGCTGGGAGGGGAGGAAGATTTTCATGGAAATCCTTCTCTGCTGCTCTTCCACCGAAGTCTTTTTTTTTTTATTAAAATTTTTTATAAATTTTTACAAAAAGACAAAAAAAAAACAATACAATACGATACAAAAACAAAGCAAAGCAAAACAAAACAAAACAAAACAACCCTTCCCCAACCCTCCCCAAAACCCCCACTCCCTCCCCCCCCCTGGAGCTTCCCAGAGCAGAATATAGGTTTAATTAAAAAAAGTTAAAAAAATTATATGAAAAAAAAGAATATAACACTAAAATATATGTATATATATAAAAATAAAAGTTATAAAAAGGCTAGATGATATTTTTTTATATCCAATTTAAATTGTATAAACTTTATCCATTTATCCCAAACAGCAAGAAATTTCTCTTGCGATTGTTCTTTTAAGAAAGCCGAAATCTTTGCCATTTCCGCCAAATAAGACACTTTAAGAAACCATTCCTGCAAAGTAGGCAAACATTCCTTCTTCCAATATTGTCCTACTAACAGCCTTGCGGCTGTGATCAAATTCAACATTAATATAACCTCCTTTGTATCACAATCAGTAACTATACCTAATAAAAATAATTGTGGAGTAAATTTTACCCTCCTTCTAAAAATTCTCTGAATATTCCACCATATCTTAATCCAAAAAGCTTTTATATTTCTGCACGACCACCAGATATGATAATAGGTGGCATCCAAACAACCACATCTCCAACATTTAGGCTGTAGGTCAGGGTACATAAAAGACAATTTTTGTGGATCAAGGTGCCATCTATAAAACATTTTATAAAAATTCTCCCTTAAATTCTGTGCTTGTGTAAATTTAACATTTCTCACCCAGATAGTTTCCCAGGTATCCAGTAGAACTGGTTCACCAAAATTCTGCACCCATTTAATCATACAATCCTTAATTAATTCTGTTTCTGAATCCAATTCCACTAGAACCCCATAAATTCTCTTAATATGAGTTTGTCTTTGATCCTTCACTTGCTTAATAAAATTTTCATCTTCTCTGAGAAAACCCACCTTACGATCCATCTTCCATCTGTCTACTAATTGCCTATATTGAAACCAAGAATAAATAATATTTTCATATGCTAGCTCTTCCAATAGTTTTAACTGCCAATTTTGTCCATCCCATCTAAGTAACTGTGTATAAGACACCGTATCCATTTTGACACCTCTTTTTATCCCCTCTATCGCATGCCAAGGTATAGCCCATAATGGTATTTTAAAATCACTTTTATAATATTTTCTCCAGACCCTAAGTAAGGAGATTCTTATAATATGAGATTTAAAAGCCCGGTCCACTTTTTTATTAAATATTAAATAGGCATGCCAACCAAAAAGTAAATCCCATCCCTCCAAATGGAGTATCTCCAAATTTGTTAAATTTACCCAATCACTAATTGATGTTAAAACCACCGCATCATAATATAATTTCAAATTCGGTACCTTGAGTCCACCTCTCTCACGGGAGTCTTGCATGATTTTAAACTTTACCCTTGGTTTTTTCCCTGCCCAGATAAATTTGTTAATACCTTTCTGCCATTCACTTAAATTAATCTCATTCTTCAAAATCGGTAACATTTGAAACAAGAAAAGAAACTTGGGTAGAACATTCATTTTTATCACTGCAATTCTTCCCATGAGAGATAATTGCAACTTCTCCCAATTCCTCAAGTCTTTCTGTACTCTAACCCACAACCTTTCATAGTCCACCGAAGTCTTTGAAAGGGACGGAACTGGGATGCTTCTACCCAACACAAAAGAAGGCAGAATTGTCCCACCCTCAGACTCAGCCAAGTCAAGACTGGAGTCCCAGCAAGAGGCCAAGATCTCAGAGGCTCCCCAAGAGGGCTGGGAAAGCAGGACAGGAGGAAGCCCTGAAGAAGCTCCCCGAAGGGAGAGACTTGGGAGGAACCTCCCCATCTTCCTTCCATCACCCAGAAAAGGAGACTTACTGAAAAACCAGATCCCAACAATCACACCCAGCAGGACAAGACCAGCCACAACGCAGCCGATGATGATCCCCAGGCTGGATTTTGGTTCTGAATTGGGAGAAAAAGCAGATCATTGAAGGAGAACCCCATTCATCCCAATTGGGGGAGAGACCTAAAATAGCGAAAGCTGGAAATTCCCAACATTAAAAACTTCTATGGGTTCCTCTTCCTGTCCCTCTAAGGGAAGCACGAAGGCTCCTTGCTAACCACCATTAGGGGACGTGTCCTCCTCATGCTGCCTCCTTCTCTCCCCAGCCCAGCATGAAGGCAGCTGAATTCATCCTTAGCTTTTCCACTCCAAAGCAGCCCTTTGCCACCTTGTGACTCTCAGCAGTTTACAAAACAAAAACTTCACCAACACAATATTGGTGAACAATACAATAACATTTGTTAAACAACAATTTTTGTTCTGTTTAGAGGCTGCCCCAGTTGTCATAATTTGGGCAGCTCTGTATATTATGTTTTTTTCTTCAGTTTGAGTGTTTGCCGTTTATTATTTAAAGTAAGAGAGTTCAGATCACCTAGCCTTTTTTTAAGTATACATTTTCATTTCCTTGGCCAGTCCAGAAAAGGCAAAAAATTATATTTTGTGCTTCCAGAACTCAGCATGAAAAATGGAATATGGTGACATCCAACTTCTGGACGGTCCCAGAAATGGCAGAAACAGAAGAACAGATTTTGAAGGGACCTTGGAGGTCTTCTAGCTCAACCCCCTGCTCAAGCCTTCCAGACAAGTGGCTGTCAGTCTCTTCTTGGATGCCTCCAGTAATGGAGCCCCCACAACTTCTGAAGGCAAATTGTTCCACTGGTTAATTGCTCTCATTGTCAGGAAGTTTCTCCTTAATTCCAGATTGCTTCTCTCCTTGTTTAATTTCCATCCACCATTTCTTTTCCTGCTCTCTGGTGCTTTGGAAATTAAATTGACACCCCCCCCCCGTTCTTTGTGGTAGCCTCTGAAATACTGGAATATTGCTATCATGTCCCCCCCCAGCCCTTCTTCTCTCTAGACTGGCCAAACCCAAAACCTGCAACTGTTCTTCCTATGTTTTGGTCTCCAGGCCTTTAATTATCTTAATTGCTCTTCTTTGCACCTTTCCCCAAAGTCTCAACATCTTTTTTGTAATGTGGTGACCAAAACTGCCTCCAAGTTGCACTTTGTTGTGGGTGCTCCAGTGGTTTATTGTTCTCACTGTCAGGAAATTTCTCCTTAGTTCTAGTTTGCTTCTCTCCTTGTTTAGTTTCCATCCTTTGCTTCTTGTCCTGCTTTCAGGTGCTTTGGAGAATAGCTTGACTCCCTCTTCTTTGGGGCAGCCCCTGAGATATTGGAACACTGCTATCATGTCCCCCCTCGTCCTTCTCTTCATTAAACTAGACATACCCAATTCTAGCAATCGTTCCTTATATGTTTTAGCCTCCAGTCCCCTGATCATCTTTGTTGCTCTTCTCTGCACTCTTTCTAGAGTCTCAATATCTTTTTTATATCATGGTGACCAAACCTGGGTGCAATATTCAAAGTAGGGTCTTACCAAAGCATTATAAAGTGGTATTGCTTTGGGAGTCAGTTCTGAGGAGGGGAACTTTAAATTTAATTTTCTCTTGCACAAAACTCAGGAATCCTACTGAATAGCTATCATGCCATTTGTGAATTGATGCTTGCTAAAAACAACAAAAACAAATGAATATTTTATTTTGCCCGGGGCATCAGCATAAAAATTAAATTCGAACATTTTTTTTTTGTATTGTGGTGACAAGCATCAATAAAAGATTTAAACTTGAATTCTGCAATTGTGGAGATCCAGTGAAAAAAATGTCAGGAGCAGTTATGAACAAATGCAGAGTTCTTAGAGGGCTTTTTTTCCTGGGTTTTATGCTGAGCCTCAGCAAATCCTATATCGTATCATAAAATAATGTGCAAATTCTTTCTTAGAGCAGCAACACACAAAGACATTTCATTCTTTACAGCAGGAAAAGTCTCTGGTGGTAAAAACTCAGATTGAGTTTTCTGATTCCTGATGCATCAGTCTAGAATCTAGATGCTCTGTGCATTTCCTGAAGTCAGCTGCAGTTCATCCGTTTTAATTAAATTTGGCCTTAAAAAAGGGACTCAGGCTCTCCTCCTGACTTTTGTACTACAGGAATTCTAAAGAAAATAAAATATGTTTTGGGTGCTCAGTATAACTGCTGCTCCATAGCTGGAGGCAAGAAAGAGGGGAGGGACAGAGGCTAAGAGAGGATCTAAGAGGATTTCATCAGGATCTGCCAGCTCTTGTGATGGGATTCTGGAGTTTCCTTTACATCCCCTGAAGCCAGTTCTATGGTCTGGTCCCTGCAGCTTCACCAACCTCAAACACTGGAAAAACCAATGGCTTAAAGCTCAGGTGTGCTCACATCTGGACACAGCTGGGGTGAGATTTCCCTCCCACATCCCTCCAGCCTGCCAAAGAGCCCAGCCTTTCCCTCCCTGCAGCCTCTCACCCTCCAGGGCCACGTCCAGAGACTTCGGTAGGCTGTCGTGCTCCACGTGGCAGTGATAGCGGCCCCTCTCTTTGGGATCGATCCGGATGCTGAGCGTGGTGTGGAAGGTCCCATCCGCGTTGGGGGCCACGGAGCCACGGAGGGTGTCCTGCAGCCAGACCTCCCCGTCCCTCATCCAGGAGGCATCAATCTCCCTGGGGTAGAAGCCATCCAGGCGGCAGACGTGTGTCTCCATCCCATCCTCCACCTCCTCTGTCCTGCTGCTCATGGTCACCTCTGGGGGCTCTGCAGAAATGGCACCCCTGGAATTAACTCTCAGCCCCTCCAGAGTCTCGAAGGTGGGTAAGAAACATGGAGGGGCAGGAAAATCTCCCACTACTTCCCACTCCACACCTGCAGCGTCTCCAAGAGTTTTAGGAAATGCTCCAGATCTGGAAAATGCTCAACCGCAAGAACTCCCGATTCTGAGTCCTTCCCAGGCTGAAAAACCTCCAGGAGCAAATTGAGGGTCCAAGGAAATTCCTCTCTGGCTGCTTTGAACTCTGAGTGATCTTGGATTGTTTCCTTCAGGGGAGGGAAAGTGGAGCTGCTCTTTTAATTTCCCTTTGAAGACAACAACAACACAGAGGTTTCTCCCTACAGCTAATACAGCTAATACTAGGGAAGGGGGGAGGGTGTCAAGGAACCCAGAAGAGAAGAGGTCGACTCAGTGGGGAGAGGTTGTCTAGATGGGAAAATAAGAACAAATCACAGGAAAAGATTACACTGTGAACCCCCCTTGTGGGGTGAGGGGGGGTTCCTGAAGGTGGGGAGGGGGCTGTTTTGAGGAAAGACTCACTAGGTCAGAATGGAGGGACTCTGTTTGAGGTTTAACAGAAAGATCCACAGAAACTTTGGGAAGAAAAGAACCCCACAACCTTGGCATTTTTTGCCCAATTGGGGGGGCCCTGAGGAGGTCTTCTTAATGGTAGAAGTGGAGCCCCCTAGTGGTGGGCGTGGGAGGTGCAGCAACAGGTGCAAGGCAGGGACGAGCCCCCTGTGGGATGTGGGGGGGGGGAAGGAGAGTTAATGGGGGGAAATTAAGGGAGCTTGACTACAGTCTGACATGGGGATTTCACTGAAGAAACCCAAATGCCCTTGTTGCCTCATTGTGGGCTGTGAACAGGACACCCCCCACGTGCTTTTGCTGCCTGATCCACCCAGACACCCGCCAGGCAGAGGCTGCATTTCCTGGTCCACTGAATGGCAGCCTGGCAAGGGGAACCAATCAGGGCTTCCTGCGTCATGGGGAGGGGCTGGGAGAGGAGGGGGAGGATTCCCGCCTGGGCAGTCAGGCTGCCGACCAGGGACCCAAAGGGGCTGAATGTGCACCAGAAATCCAACCATAAAGGAGGAAAGTCTGGATCCAGAGATTCACCTGTCCTCAGCAGTGTCTCCTTCCCGTAGGACAGGTACTTCTCCAGCCACTCAATGCATTCCTTCTCCAGGTAGGCCTTCCACCTCTGATTGAATCCTGGAACAGCTTCCCATTTCCTGTGGGTGATCTGGGCCTGGGGTTGGGGAGCCACCCAGGTGAGTCTCTCCTTGTCAAAGGTGATGAAGGTCCTCCCATCGTAGCCATACTGCATAAATCCTCCTTTTCTCCCATCAGCCTGGAGCTCACAGCCATACATCCACTGCCATGTGTGAAGGCCTGAAATAGGAACAAGATGATGGTTTGGGAGTCCCCAAGATAGACACAGACCCCCTTCCCTGCAGGGATTTTCACACAGGCACTGACACCCCCATTTCCTCCCTAGTAATCAAGGGAAAGAAAGCCCCCATCACTACCTGCCCTTCTCCCCTCCCTCGACCTGCCTCCCTCCATTCCCCCTCCCCAGGATGGAGCCCCTGAACCTCCCCAGGAAAAGGGAAGCTGGAAAAGCCAGCGGAGGATCCCGAGGGAGACCGAGAAAAGAAGGAGTCACAGAAGAAACGGAGGGAGGGAGCCTCCTCCATCTTTCCTTCTGCAGTTCCTCTCTTGGGGAGACTCTTGGGGGGAAAGGAAGGGATCCCAGAGAGGGAACATTTGCAGGAATCTACAGCTGCAAAGAGAGACTGAGAATCTCCTGGCCTCAGAGAGATCTGGTGGATCTGCTAAGAAGCTTGCAAGGATCCCTGTGACCATAAATCTTGATCTATGTTCACAAATATCACCAGGTCACAAGGGCTGGTTCCCATCTTGGGCTAACCAGAAACAAACCATGGCTTGGTGCATTGTGGGAATGAAGCCTTGAAGGGCCACAAAGGAATATTTTCCGTAGCAACAGCAGCAAGTGGCCCAATCTGATCTGCACCCCCAAAGAGTTGTTGACCTTTGAAATGAAGTTTGAAGTTTACAGTCTTTGCAAGGCCCTGGAGAAAATATTTTGACTTTAACTGACCAGATTCTGGGATTTAAAAGAAAACCAAATGTTTGGGAAAAAAAACAAAAGAAAATGTTGAAATGTTTCTACTTCTGGTTGGGCTAGAGAGGGAGGAAGGATGCTAAAAACTCTCAGTTCTAAAGGAAAACCACTTGTAAGTACAGTTGAACTAAACTGACCCGTCCTTTCCCTCCCTTTCCACTCCCATGAGTGACCGGGTGGGGGGATCCTTTCTCTGCAGCTTCTGCTCAGCCTGAGACCTTCCTTTTGGAGGGAGAGGGAGATCCTCCTGAGCTGAGTCTGATCCTGCCCTCCAGAGGAGATTCCCTGATCTGCCCAGGGGAAAAAAAAGATTCTGGATTTCTGCTCAAGAAGAGTCTCCTGCCATTCGCAGGAAGGCACTGAAAATCTGGCTGCAGTTTTCAACTTCTGAGAACCAGCTCTGACTTATTTCAGAAGCTTCAAAAGCTAAGACAGAAACCGTCTTATTTCAGTTGAAGATGAAATCTACTTGTGTTCATTGCAGGTTTGGCACAGAATTTAATATTTGTGCTGCAAAAAAAAAAAAAAAAAAAGCACAGGGATCAGACTGAAAAGGCAAGTTTTTATTGTTAGTGTAAGAAGGCTGTTAATGCATCTCTACAGGTCTGTGCAGGAAACAATTCTGCCCCATCTCTGAGCCTGGATGTTCAGGGGTTCCCCGAGGCCTGAAAAATAGTTCAAGGCTTCCTCCAGGGTCAAAATGTTTAAAAAGGCTCCTTTAGGGACGCTAAAATATATTTATATTTGTAACTGCTGTGAAGAATATCAGAAGTCACTTCTTTATGTCTTTTTATTTTCTTCAACTTGTTTTCTTTTCTTGTAATTTTTTATTTTTTTTATTTCTTTCTTTTATCTCCTTTACTTTATGTTACTTTCTATAAGTTTTTATCTTTTGTTGAAAATGTTCAATACAAATTATATTAAAAAATTTAAAAGGCGAACAGGATATCAGGGATCATTAAAATGTATTGAAAACACGGAGGCTAATGTCAGAAAACCTTTGCGTAAATCAAGGGTGGGACCACATCTGGAATATTGTGGGCAGTTCTGGTCCCCAGACCTCCAAAAAGGGGCAGGAGGGAGGTGGGGAAGGTCCAGAGGGGGCGACCCAGAGGATGGGGGGGTGGAAGCAGCCTCCCTTGGAGGAAAGGTTGGGACATTTGGGGCTGTTTGGCCTGGAAAGGAGGCTCCCCTCCACTCTGGCAGCTCTCCTTCCCCCTTTCTCCACCAGGGGGAGCCCTCTGGGTCCAGCTTTGCTCCCCTGAGAGGCCAGCAGGGGGCCTGGAGGGATCTGGGGGGATCCTGGGGATCAGGGGCAGAACAGGGAGATCTCTGGGGTGTCTGCCTGGGGGGGGGATGGGTAAGGAAAGGGCAGAAGAAGGGGGGCTGCCCCTCCTTGGGATGAAAGGAGGGAAAATGGCTGATGTTCGTGGAGAAGGTTTACCTCAGCCCAAAGCAGCCTCTGGTGACACAGATATTTGCTTCCAATCTCTCCCCTAAATCAGGTTCCTTGGAGGTGAATCTTCTCCCCCAAAGATGGCAGAAAGGTGGGGGGGCTGCTGAAGAAGGCCTCCCCCCTCCAGGGCAGCCCCACCAAGAGGGCAGCGCAGGAGTCCAGCCGGAGGGACCAAGGATGGGAAGCCATCAGCGCTCTGAGCGACTCAGGAAGGGCCCCAAATGGGGGTTTCTTCCTTTTCTGTCCTTTTTCCCCTCAAGATTGGGGGGATCCTGGAAGTGATCCTGTGCTCCCCCCCCTAAGAGCCCCCCCACCCAATTTGGCCTCCTGGCCTCTCCTGGAGAGTGAGAAGAAGTTCCTGCCATGTTGGGCCCCCCTCATCCCTCCAAAAAGAGGTGAAAGAGAGGGATCTACTCAGCCCAGATGGATCTGCAGTTGATCCCTCATTTCTCTGGGGTGGAAACAGACAGAAAAACAGGGACCTGTTTCCCCCAGGATCTCCTTAGAATCCACCTGCTTCTTTTCCGGGAGGGGAGAGACCTGGGATCCCCTCCCTCCCCCACAGCAGGGGATCCACCAAGGCCAGGAGCCTCCGACTTTCATGGGGGGGAGGGGAGATTTCGGTTTCTTTTAACTCAGTTTATAGCAAGATCCACATCCTATCAGTATACAGGGAGATGGAAGGATAACTTTAAAAAAATGTTTTTATTAACTGCAATTGGCAGAAACCATCAGCTATGGAGGCAACAACAACCTTATACTGATTTTTTAAAAAGAATAAACATACTAAAAAGTTTTTTTAAAGGTGGGGAAGCAGCCTTCCCCTTTGAAGGGACCCCCCTTTCTCCCCCCTCTGGTTCCTGGGAAGGGGATTATGGGGCCGGAGGAGCCACCCGACCCATCACTCACCTTCGCTCTGATTGTAGCGAAGCCTCAGAGTCTCCAGGTCTCCTCTGAACACCTCCTCAGAGTCACGGGATCTCTGGGTGTTTCTGTCCCAGTACTGGGGATCCTCCTTCCCCACTTTCTCCATCCAGGAGACTCGAGGCTGATTCCTCTGGGTGTTGCTGTTGTACGAAGTGAAGATCTGACCATCCACGTACCCCACCACGACAAAGTGGGGCTGCCCCTGACTGGGTTCCGAGATGGAGGAGTAGAAATACTTCATGGAGTGGGAGGAGGCGCCTGGAAGGGACCCAGAGGGGCAGAGTTAGGGGGCTCCAGTCAAGGACCCTCATCCTATGGAGGCTCCAATCTGAGGCTCTGGGGGGAAAGAAGGAAGAAGAAGGAGGAGAAGAAGAAAATAGAGAACTGCGGGGAGGAGAAAGGAAGAAAGGAAGGGGAAGAGGATGGAAGGGGAGGCAGGAGGTGGAAGGAGGGAGCGGCTGAGAGGGAAAGAAGCAGCTTCTGGGGGGGGGCTGAAGGGTGGGAGGGCAGGGAAGGTGGGGTGTGAGAGAGGAGGGGAATGTCGGGTCCCCCAAACTTTACCTGCCCCAATTGCACACTCCCCCCTTTCAGCAAGGCCTTCCACAAAGCTTGGGAGGGGGTTGGTGGTGGCTACCCAACTCTTCACATGATGAGTGACTCTCAACAGAAAAGCCTAAATTAGTTTCTCAGACTCAGCCACTTGGACTTCAACTCCCAGAATTCCCCTCAACCAGGGGGGCTCTCCACCCTGGCCCCACCCCCTGCCCCCACTGAGGCTGCTTGGGAGTTCCTGCTGCCAACTCTCATGTTTGGGGGGGGCTCTCCACTGGGGTCCTCTCCCCAAACCCAGCCTCCATATGGAGGGTCCCGTCACCTTTAAAGCCCCTCTGGGGAACATACAACATTATTTCAGTTTCTATCATGCAAACTCCCATCTGAGCAGCATCAAAGTTTCTTCAGCCCTTCCTTGGATTGGAGGACAGACTAAAGTCACAAGACATAAAACTATGCTAAACTTGAATAAAATTGACAAAAGAAAATCACATTAAATCATTGGTTAGTTTTCATTGTCAAAACACAAACACGGAAGAGACTCTTAGGCTGCCCAAGGAACAGAAAAAAAACAGCTCGTAAATGGATGAAAAGAATTAAAAGAAAGTAAAAGGAATAAAAGATTCCTGGGAAATCGATTCAGCTGATGGAAACCCCCAGGGCCCCTTCTGGGTCTCCGTTCTGAAAGCTCTTCAGGTCAGAAATTCTTCCGGGGCACCAAAGAGCTTAAAGATCATTTTCAGGATCCTTCACGGGATTTATTTGGGCAGAACCTGGGTCTGCATGGAAAAGGGCAGGACCTCCAGAGCCCCCCAGAGAAATAAATACAGGCAGTCCTCAACTTACAACCATAATTAAGCCCACATTTTTGCTGCTAAGTGAGACATTTGCTAAGTGAATTTTGCTCCATTTTACGATTTTTGCCCCAGTTGTTAAGTGAATCGTTGCAGATGTTAAATTACTAACCCCGTTGTTAGGTAAATCTGGTTTCTCCATTCACTTTGCTTGTCAGAAGGTCACAAAATGGGATCACTGCAATTGTCATAAATATGAACCTGTGGCCAAGCATCCAAATCCTGGTCACATGACCACAAGGACGCTAAAATGGTCATAAGTGTTTAAAATGGTGATAAGTCGCCTTTTTCAATGAGGTAACTTTGAACGGTCCCCAAATGAACTGTTGTAAGTCGAGGACTACCTGTAGTCCCACTGCCCAGTCCCTCCAGTATGGTCTCCCAGCCCTTCCCAGTCTCCCAAGGCAAAGGCAAAGGCCTCCTTCTTCCTACTCCTCCTCACAATCCCAGCAGCTTCTCAGAGCTTTTGGGGAGAGGGATCCCCAGATCCACTTCCTGCTCTGGGGAGATTTCAAACAGATCAGGGCTTTTCTCCAACAGAAGGAGGGGGGATCGGACCCTCCGTGATCCAGAACCCGCTCCGTCCCCTGGTGGGGCTGAGCAGTGAGGGAGTCTGAAGTCTGCCTGAGAGGAGAAACGTGTGAACGTAACGCAGGTTGGGCGTCCTCACAATCACGAATCCTCCTCAGGTCAGGAAGGGCCGGTCAGTCTGGGCCTGTCTGTGTCCAAGCAAGGCCTTCATTGCAGGCTCCCCACCCAGAGGGGCTTCTCTCCTCCTGCCTCCAGCCCAGCCTCTCTGACCCTTCAGATCCCGAGAGTTTGGGAAATGCCTCTGGAAAAGCTGCTGCCTTGAGAGTTTCTCTGAGGAGCAACTGGGGACACCCCAAGACCTCCCATCTGGTTACTGAGGAATAAGAGTAAACTTTAAATATTTCTGATTCTGCAAACTCTCCCCTGCTGGGGGCTCCTGAAATGGGAGGAGGAGGATTTTGGGTGGAAAAATTCCTGCCTGTCCTAGAACACAGCTCTGGGGATATTGGGGTTTGGGACGGGGTGGGGGGTGGGGATCCAGTGGAAAGTGACAATCAATCAATCAATCAATCAATCAATCAGGGGGGATATTTGGGAAGACAATTCAAGGAGGGTTTCTTCTCTCCAGACTCTTCTCCTGCTGCATTCCCAGGACAGCCTTAACCCGATCCCTCCAGGGCTCCAGCCTCCTTGTCTGCCAATACGCGGAAGCGAGTCGAGAACCGAGCCGGCTCCGCCCAGCACCAGAAGCCACAAAGAGCCACCCAGCCCCGCCAAAGGCAGGAAAGAGGAGCCGGGCGGAGGGGTTGTGCGAAGGCAGCCAGGAGGTTTGGGAACTGCCCTGGTCCCGTGTAAACCGCGCTTTCCCACAACCTCCACTTTGGGGGAGGGAAAGAACTGCGCTCGGGGGCGCCCAGGTAGACTTGACTGACCTCTGGAGGGCCCCCCCTTGTCCCGTTCCCAGAGGGGCTCTCCGGGGGGGGGAGAGGTCCCTTCTGAGAGGGGCCAGAGGGAGAGCGGACTAGAGAGAGGACCGAATCGGGATTCTCTTCCTGGGAATAATCTTTGGGGGAGGCGAAAGACAGAGAGATTCCCTGGATGGATCCCCACTAGGAAATAAAGGGACTCACCGAGGCAGCTCTCCCACAGGGCGACCCCCACCAACACCAGGAGCGGCAGAGAGCGGAGCGCCATCCTGGCCGCGATCCTCCAACTGCGATCCGCTCTCCAGAAGTCGCAGGCAGAGAAAGACGCGCTCCGGGTGATCAACAACGCAACAACCCAGAGCAAAAGCGGGTGATTGGCCAAGCTCAGCCAGTAGAAAAAAGGTACTCCCGTGTCGTCATTGTTGCTAGGCAGACGTCCAGGCGCAACCGGCTGGACAGGCGGGAAAAGGAAAGCGAAAGTCCCGTCAGGAAATCCCCTTCCAGCCATTCCGCCTCTTGGGGGGAGGGGCAGAAATGGGGGGCTGGGAAAAGCGGGAGGGTTATCTGGGCCTGGGGGGAGGGGCGCAGGCGAGGGGGAGGGGAGACCCCGCAGAGACCCTGGCAGTGGAGGGGGGGGGGGGAAAACAGGTGGAGCTGCCAAAAAAGCCGGGACAGTCTTGGGCGTCATCAACCGAGGGGCAACATCAAGAGAACGCGAGAAATGAGAATGTCGGTTTATCCTGCACTAGTGAGGCCACCCTTGGAATTGCGGGTCCGCTTCTGGTCCCCACGACTCAAAAAGGATGCTGGGAGCCCAGAAAGAGTCAGAGAGGAGCAACAAAGGTGATAAAGGAGGGTTAAAGGGTATGAGGAAGCACTGAGAAAGCGAAGTATGCCCAGCCTATCACACAGAAGAATTTGGGGTTTGTCTCTGTGTGTCTGTCTGTGTGTGTCATAATAACTGCCTGCCTTGACTTGAGGGGCTGTCCCAGAGAAGAGGGGAGGGACTTCTTCCCCAAAGCCCCAGAGGGCAGGAGAAGAAATAAGGGGTGGGGGCTTCTTAAAGAGGGATCCGACCTAGAAGGAGAAATTTTCTAACAGTGAGAACAATTAATCGGTGGAATAATTTTCATCCTGGAATTGTGAGTGCTCCATCGCTGGAAGTTTTCAAAAACAGACTGGAGAACTGTTAGACTGGGATGGTATTAAATGTCCTGCCTGGATCTGAGGGTTGGACTAGAAGACCTCTGAGGTCCTTTCCAGTCCTGTGATTCTGTGTTCAGGTCATGACATCCCAAATGATCTTCGCTCTGGAGAAAAACGCTCAAAGGCTCTCGTGGCATCTTCAAGGGAAAGATTTGTCTTTCTAGGGGAAAATGTCAGAGGTGTTTTCTTCTCTGGGGAAGCCGTGAATCTTTAGGAAGCTTCAAAGTCTTTGGTTTCCCCACAATAACCTAAGATGGCTGCCCTCTCCCTGGCGCTTCTTCTGGGGAATCCTCGGACTAAAAGAATAAATCCTGGTTTCTTATTAGGATTGAACAAATTCAGTTGATTTCCCATTTCCTATGATGAACAAAGTATGAGAAACATTCAATGGTCTTTTCAAGGCTTGAATCATCTGCTTTCTTCTGCAGTCATCTTTCCTCTGAGCATGTATAGAGTGGAAATTTGGGCCCGTCTGTGGGAAAGAGGAGGGGATAACCTGATAGCTCAAGAACATAAAATATAAAACATAACAGAATATAAAATTTTGAAAATCTTTCAAATGGGAGAGTCTCATCAAGGCGGGCCCTAAGAATTTCCGGAAACGCGGATGAGCTGGAGATTGGCGCCCCCTGCTGGTTGGCGGCTTTGCAGTGTCTCCTCTCAATTAGCAAAGTATCAATTCCTGTTTAAGCACCAAACCAGCCAGAAGTTAATCGAACTGTGTAGAATCAAGCCAACAATAGAACTGATTAAATTACTTCCCAGACTCCTCTTTACTTTGTGGGCTTCCTTGCGAGACAAGCTGCATTTGATTACCAGTTTGCTTCTGGGTCCACTTAAAGGTGCTGCTTTTGACCTTTAAAGCCCTTTGTGGAATGAGACCCCCCTCTTCCCAATTACTTCCACCCACCCCACCAGCTCTAGCAGAAGAGGTATGTTGTGGGTCTTGTCTCTTAAGGAGTAATATGTAGTGGGACCCGGGAGATGATCCTTTTCTGCAGTGACCTCCATCCTTGATATCCTTCCGGACATCTCTTAAAATATGGTTGTGTGAATAGGCTTGGGGATCTCAAGGAACTGGTGAACTAGCAATGGGGCTGCATTCCTTATCACATTGAATCCTTTCTTCTTTCAATTAATAATGATTCATTAAAAATTGCACAATCTTTTTGAAATATTAAAATAAGATTCATGTTTTACCACAGAAGATTCTCAAAACGAATATAAAAATTAAACCAGAGACATTTCTTTTAGTCTGAATGGAGAAAGAACTTGAATTTTTGTTGTTGTTGTTGTTGTTATCCATGTTCACAGCAGTGAGAATGGCCAGATTAAGTACTTTAGTCAAAGAAAAGAATACATCCGACTTTATTTCTACTTGGAAACTGCTTCTCAATTTTGTGGTTGAGGTAGAAAAATATGATACATTGACTTTGGGTTTTGTTGATTAGAAAAAGTTTCTACTCATAGAAATGGCTAGTGCATATTAAATATGCAAAAGTAAAAAAGTCAAGGCTGTAATATTTTTATTCAACTTGGTTGAAATTAACACACAATTTTATTAACTGAGAGGTGATAAAGAAAGAACTGGCATTATTTTCATAGCCTGGGAGGGAATATTATCTCCCGCTCCACATTTATCTTTTCAGCTAAGAAGCCACCAAGTGCTTCCACTTTCCTTCCAATTTCCAAAGACCACCGCAGATTAATAAGGGATGTACTTGATTTTAAGATTATATTTTTCTTTTTTCTGAATTTTCACTTTGGAAGCAATGTAAACAGAGAACAATGGGAACGTGACAGGACTCAACATGCTGGATGTCCTTCTTCTTCCTGAAGCAGATGAGCTGCTGAAGCTGCACAATGCTTTCATGAACTGCTGACAACAGGCTGCAACATGCGCAACTTTGTGTTGCTCCTGGAGGCACTAAGGGACTGGCGATTTGTCAATTTCAGATGAGGGGGGGGGAAGAACCATCTGCCATGTTGAGTTGGATCCCATTGCCGATCATCCATCTGCCATTTTAAATAGACTCTAAACCAGACATGTCAAACACAAAACCCGGGGGCCAGATGCGGCCCGCAAAGTGGTTTCATGTGGCCCGCGAAGCCATCTTGGAAACAGTGAGGGAATGGCCCCCTCTGCCTTGGCCTTGGCCCAGGCCAGCCGGGAGCCAATGTACAATTTTGTGGTGGCCCTCTATGCTGAAACGCATTCAGTCTTAGCTCCATAAGCGCCCCCCCCACATGGCTGAGAGGAACAGTGAGGCTCCTCCAGTGGACCATGCCTTGCCACTTGCCCTGGTCCCACCTCCTTCTGCCAGAGACCCTCAGATCTATCCCACTCCTGCCCAGGCCCCCACACGCACCCTTGACGCGATGTAGAGCTGGCCACACCCACCCAGTAGTCCACACCCACTCCATCCACGCCTACCCAGTAGGCTACACCCACCCTGGCCACACCCACCCGCCCCCCTGAGGGCAACTGCAATGCTGATGTGGCCCTCAATGATATTGAGTTTGACATCCCTGCTCTAGGTAACCTTCCGCCATTTTAGGGACTGCAAGCAGCCCATTTTGTAACTGTGTGTCGTTTGTCAAAGAGAGGCTCTTTATTCAGGTACTGCTGTTGCCTCCCAGCTCAGACACCCCGACTTTGGCCTGAAGCTGGTAAGAACTTGAGACCTGAATTCGAGAGAGGCGCTTTTCCCTTTGCAAAGGGGCTTCTTTGCCCCCCCCAAAATAGGAAACACCCAGTAATTCAGGCAAAGCAAAAAGTCTCCATTAAAGGCTGTGTGTGTGAAGGAGCAATCTGCCCAGAAAGTTGACACCACCTGTGCTATTTCTGTCCGGTCTCTCCAAGGCCTCTCCCTGGGGACAGCACAGCAAAGTTGCCTGGAATAGCTGTGCGGTGAAACAACTCAGGGTGTGGGGAAAGAAGGTGTGTATTTTTGTGTGGAAGTAAAGCAGTTAGAAAGGGAGTTTTTTCTCTAACCCTCACACGGAGGAATACAGGTGGGAGTAGCTGTGGAAAAGCTTGAGGACTCTGTCTGTGTGTGTGTCTGTGTGTGTAAGTGTTGTCAAGAGAACTGTGTTGTTGTTAGCTCTTACAGAATCACTGAGTTGGAAGGGGCTTTGGAGGTCTTCTAGACCAGAGGTTCCCAAACCCCTGTCCATGACTGGCACTGGGCAGTGGCATGCCAGAAACCAGGCTGCAGAAACAAGCGAAACCCCATCCGGGGAATGCAAGCGGCACACAAAACAACACCTTCTCCGGTCCGTGGAAAAACCTCTCCCCACAAAACTGGTTCCTGGTGCCCAAAAGGTTGGGGGCCGCTGTTCTAGACAGCCCCCTGTTCGGGCAGAAAACCCTACACCATTTCTTTGGTGTCTTGAGTCCACCAAATTGGGTCTATACCAGTGGTTCTCAATGTTTGTGTGACGGCGACCCCCGTCACACAAACGTTCTGCACATGCGCGGTGCTGCGCACATGGGGGTGGCCCCCCATGCACGGCGTGCATGCACGGCGCACATGCGCGGCAGCGCCCCCATGGCGGCGCACGTGCACGGCGCCGCCCCCATGGCGGATCGCTGCCTTTGGCGACCCCCGAAAAATGGTCGATCGACCCCAAATGGGGTCGCGACCCATAGGATGAGAACCGCTGGTCTATACTGTAGTTAAAAGAACCTGTGACATGGGCCCAGATCTTTTTACCGGTTACAGAAACAAATACATTCCATTGGTATATTTTGTGATAGGTCAAAAAGCAAGAGATCAAAGAATAAAAGAGATGGATTAAATGCGAAGCTTGAACAATAGGAAACAACGATTCTAGCTGGCATTCCACAAGTAGCAAACTCACGGCCTATAAACTCCCTCTCCCAGATAAATTTTTATATTGCTTAACACTTGCAAGTGTATCCAAGGTCTTCCAGAAGGTACTTTCTGTTGTGTAGTTGCTGAGAAAGCAAGTTCTCCCAAAGCAAAAGAAACGGCACGCTTCCTTAAAGTTAAAAAAAGAGAACCAGCCTCCCTTGTTAAAAGTGCAAATATCACCTTTTAAAAGGCTAACAATAAAGCTTAAAATCCCAGCCAGCCCTGGCTGTGGTTAGTTTTAATCCTATAGTATTAATGTTCAGGTCGCAGAGTTAGCAATGTC